GGCGGCAGTTGTGGCGACTATAGTTCCAACAGTATTATGATCGGCGGTAACGATGGCAGTGGTACCAGTAGTGGCAGTGAGAGTGGTAAGATTGGTGATGGCATTGCGAATGTGAATGCATTGTTGTCTTCGCCTGTCGTCGTGTCTGGACCGTCCGAAGGGAAATACGTCCTTAGTCGCGTTTCATTACCTGTTTGTACGTTTTTTCGTTTGGCAGAGCAAGGCGGAAAAGGTTTCGTCTCCAAAGCACTCCTCCTTGCAACAAGACGCCAGTACCGGAGGCAAGGCGCCTGACAATCCTGCAGCAGGAGGAGCAGGAGGCGAGGAAAAGAGCAGGAAAGACAAGGCTGGGAGCAAGGCGGCGAGCCAAGAAGGGGAGGGGAAAGCGGATAGTGGTAGTGGTGGTGGTAGTGGTAAGGGGAGTCAATCCAGGCAGAAGAAGAAAGGCAAGGAGCAATCGGTTCCCGCACCTGCGGTGCCTGCTCCGGTGACCGCCGCCGTGCCTGCGAACTCGGTCTGGAAAGCCAAGCCTGCTGCGCTGCTGCTTCGGCCAGAGGCCGGGAAGGCGCAAGCGCCGAGCCAACAGCAGGCGCAGCAGCAGAAGCAGCCACCGCAGCAGCAGGAACAGCAGCCGCAGCAGCAGGAACAGCAGCAGCAGGGGAAGCAGGCTGGAAGGGCGACAACAGAGTCGCAAGGGAAGTCAAATACCACTGTCACCTCCTCTTCTGTACCTCCGCCCATCAAAACCACGACCACCGTCTCCCCAGACCCCCCTGCCCCCTCTTCCGCCCACCTCCCGTCCTCCACTTCCCTCTCCGTCTGGACCAAGGAATCCTCCTCACTCCACTCCACCTCTCTCCACTCCTCCTCACCCTCCTCCCTCCACTCCTCTCTCCATCCCGCCCCCCCGTCCTCCTCCTCATCCTCCTCCTCCACACCAACTGAGTGCGAATTCTCAACGACCTCAGGGCTCTCCTCCCCCCCTTCCTCCTTCCCCTCTACTCCCCGCGCCATGGCCAGCCTCTCCCCCTCCGCCAGCTTGGGCAGTTGCGCCGACCACCTCCCTGCCGAGCCTGTCACCGAGCCTGCCTCCAGCCCAGCGGAGCCGGCTGCCGAGCCTAGCACTGTGGGTTCGGAAGCCTTGTTGAGTGGGGAGGGGAGTGGGAGCGGAAGGGCGGTTGGCGATGTGGGCGTGCAGGAGAGGTTGCGAGAGAAAGCAGATTTGCAGGTACAGCAGCAGCAGCAGCAGTCTCAGCAACAGCAGCCGCAGCAGCAGCAGCAGCCCCGGGATAAGCTGGTGGTTGCAGAGAGTGTTGCAGCAGCAGCAGGAGAGGCGAGCAAGGGCAGAAATGCATCAAATCCGGGCATGGGCTCAGTTTCCGTTGATGCCCGTGCCGCTGCTGGTACCACCGCTGGTGTTTCTGCTGACAATGCGGCTGCCTCTCTGGGTGCCACCGCTGCTAGTGGTGCTGCGGATATGTCTGGTGCTGCAGCTGGAGGGAACACCGCCTCGGTTGGGCTGCGCCCGTGGAGTGATGCGTGCCGCTTCGCCCTGGAGACGAATCGCCGGCGAGTCTACGTGCGCCAGCTGCAAGAGTAAGCGCTCGCTCCCTGCCACCACATGTAGTGAGTCGATTTTTGAGTCGACTCAAAAATCGCTTCGCCCTGGAGACGAATCGCCGGCGAGTCTACGTGCGCCAGCTGCAAGAGTAAGCGCTCCCTGCCACCACACAAGTGATCACCATCTGTGGGGTTGGTTGGTAGGCAATGCAGATGCATGGAGGTGACCCATGGTGTCTCTTCCCCACCCACAATCTTCAGACCTTGGGTGGTTGAGACAGCCACCCGGGTGACCTGGGTGGCTGTCTCAACCACCTGCTCGTCTTTTGACTCCGCTCAAATCCCACCCCTCCACTCCCTCCATGTCTTCTTCTCTCTCGCCTTCTCTCGTCAGGCTCGGATTCCCCTTGGGAGAGGCAGCGCAGGCGGTGCTGGTGCACGGGGGAGACCTGGGTGGCTGTCTCAACCACCTGCTCGTCTACCACGAGTGCTCCTGCCGCCCCTCCGCTCTCTCTGCTCTCACGCCCTCCCCATTCGTCGTGAGTTCACACCCTCCCCATCCATCTTTTAAGGCGCCTCAAAACTTTGCTCCTGCCGCCCCTCCGCCCTCTCTGCTTTCTCCGCCCCTCCGCCCTCTCTGCTTTCTCCGCCCCTCCGCCCTCTCTGCTTTCTCCACCCCTCCGCCCTCTCTGCTTTCTCCGCCCCTCCGCCCTCTCTGCTTTCTCCGCCCCTCCGCCCTCTCTGCTTTCTCGCCCTCCCCGTCCGTCGTGAACCCGCTTCCTCTCCTGTCAGACTGTAGGTGTCAACTTGTGCATGCAGCTTTTAGTTTCTGGTTGCTCTTGTTCTGAGATCTTATCGTCCTCACTTGGTTGCCCTCTCTCTCTCTCGTTGCTTGGTTATCTGTGTGGCTTGCTCCTTGGTTCCAGGACATTTCCCTCGAGTTGCAAGCTCTCTCTGAGATCATGTCAGCTGGATCCCTGCCCCAGGTACCCTCTCACAACCCCCTTGCAATTCTTGAGGCTCCTCATATAATATGTCCCTCGAGTTGCAAGCTCTCTCTGAATAATATCAGCTGGATCGCTGCCCAAGGTACCATCCATTACCCCCCTTGTGCTGCGCTGCTGCACACATCCTCCCCGCTGAGCCACTGCTGTCTGCCTATGATCTGGGTCCTCTTTACCATGACTTGTTGGAGCATGACTTTTGAGTCGACTCAAAAGTCACCTCGTTTTGAGTCGACTCAGAAGTTGCCTATGATCTGGGTCCTCTTTACCGCCACTTGTTGGAGCATGCGTTGGTGCTCGCAGCTCGCCTTTGGAGAAATCAGCCACGCCCTGCTCCCTATCATCTCCTCCATCGCTCATTCCTCGTCCCTAATCGTGCATGCATTGCCTCGTATGTGTTCTCTTCACCCCTTGGTTTCATGTCTCACCAGGACCTGTTGGAACACGCGTTGGTGCTGGCCTCTGGAGACATCAGCTACGCCCTGCACCTTGTCATCTCCCATCCCCACGGCCTCCCCTCCTCCCTCCCCTCCACGCAGCCCTTCCCCTTCTACTCCTCTCCCCTCCCTTCCACCACCACCAACACCGCAACTACCACCACCTCCTCCTCTACTCTCTCCTCGCTTCCTCCTCCCCACCCTTTCCAGTCGAACCACTGCATACCGCACAACACCACTGCTTTTCCTGTTGGTCCTTCTGACCCTGTCTTTGCCCATCTGTCCCGCTCGGCCTCCCCCTCTCCTTCCCCCTCGCCACCCTCTCCTCTCCCTGAATACACCATCCCATCTCCATCGCTCGTCATCCCCCTCTCGAATACCAACCCTGGCACCTACTCTCACACCCGTATGACCACACTCACTCCCACCACCACTTCCTCCTCTTCCTCCCTCCAGCACACATCTCTCCTCTCGGGTATCTGGTCTAGCTCATCGCCGAACCTTCCTTCTGCCGCCCATGCCAGTCCCGCACCTCCTCCTGGGTTCGGCCCGAGCCTCAATGCCGCTGCTGCTCCACTCGGTAACAGTGCCAGCTTCGGCACTCTCGAGGCTCGCAGTGGGAGTCCTGCCCCGAACCTCATCCCGGGCAGCGGATGGAATTATAACGGCCTGCCCGAGTTGAAAGCGCAGCAGCGTGTTGAGCCCGTGGGAGGGTGTGAAGCTGGCAGGAAAGTTTACGTGCCCGAGAGCATAGGCAGGTTGTGGGGGGCGTCAGCAGGAGCAGCAGCAGGCATGGGAGCACATGACGATTCGCAGTGGTTGTGTGGGGTGAACAGTGATAGGAGCAGCGGCACCACCAGTGGACTCAGCAGTTGCAGCAATAGCAGCCACGGCTACTCGCAATATTCTGAAGAGGAAGGGCTTGGTGATTCGCTGTTGCTGCTTCCAGGAGATGAGGAGGACCTTTTCTCCCGGATCCTCCCTGGTTTGCTGGGTTAAAATGCAGTGCCATATACCTTTTGCACCTGGCCCGGTTTTGTCTAGCTGGGCCTAAATTTTGCTTGCTATATTTGAAGTGGACGGGTCTTAAAACTGCTTGGAGGCTGCTGTTCACTCTGTATTTCTATCGTACACGTTTGCTGGTACTGTAACAAATTTCCTGGCCTGTGCGTTTCCGTTTACGCCAACCACTGCGATATTATTCGTGTTCTCTATGTTAAACTGTAGCGATGAACTCAATAGCGAGGTTCTTGAAATTTATCCGCGCTCTCAATGTAGTAACTCTTAGCCATGAACTCAGCTACACTTTTGACACAGAGATAAGTGGATCTTTGCACGAGATCACACATTGAACCAAGCCAGAAAGTTCAATTTCCCTACTAATCTGACTGGGCTTGCGTGGGAGGGCAGGCTTATAACCTGGGCCTACGGTCGCACAGAGCTGTCTGAAATGAATTTGGACATATGTGCCTGCCAGACATGCGACATTATTTCACGACTTGTCAAAACATAACTGGTACACATTAAAACGGTTGGTGTTACATTACATCCGAAACTTCATTGTTCGGCAAGTGCAGTTGCACAGTGGTCGTGAAATTCGCAGGGCACATGTTTCCCACGGTCCAGCGTGTCTTCTTCACACGTCATTGGGGCCTGCTGGATGGTGCCCGGACACCTTTGGAAACACTCTCTTATTCTGGACTGAAGGGGAGATGAGGCGCGAGAAAGACTGTGGGGGGCGATTCTTGAGACGTGGTGCCCAGACACCTTTGGAAACACTGTCTTATTCTGGACTGAAGGGGAGATGAGGCGCGAGGGGGACTGTGGGGGGCGATTCTTGAGACGTGGTGCCCGGACACCTTTGGAAACACACTCTTATTCTGGACTGTAGGGGAGATGAGGCGCGAGAGGGACTGAGGGGGACGACGCTTGAGACGTCTCAAACGTCAGACTGAGCTTGGGCTGGATTTGTGTATAAGGGCGGGCTTATAGCTTGTGCCTATGAGTCTGGACTGAAGGGGAGATGAGGTGAGAGAGAGACGGCGGGGGACGAGGGATGTCGGGGGGAGTGAGATGGGAGGAGGGGGCGAGGGACAGAGAGCGTGGATGGGCAGGGAGGGGAATCCAAGACTTCTAAAAAATCATAACCTGGGCCTATTAGTCTGGGGAGAAGGGGTGATAAGGGGAGAGAGAGACTGCGGGGGACGAGGGATGTCGGGGGGAGTGAGATGGGAGGAGGGGGCGAGGGACCAAAGGGAGTGGATGGCAGCGGAGGGGGTGTTGAGGGGGAGGAGGAAGCGAGAGAGAAGGGGATGGACGCCGGAGGCCCACGCAGGGGAGAATGGAGGAGGAGGAGGAAAATGAGGGGGGTGGGAGGTGTGGTGGGCGGAATGGTGGGAAGAGTGGTGGGAGGAGTGGAGGGAGGAGTGGAGGGAAGAGTGGAGGGATGAAGCGAAGTGGAAGATGGGGAGGAGGAGGGCGAGAGGGATGGAGAAGTTGAGGTGCGGAAGGATGGTGCCGTGCCGGTTGTGCTTCGCATTGCTGGTGGGGGGAAAGGGGTTGAAGGGCATAGAAGGGCGTTGTAAGGGGTTGAAGGACATAGAACGGCGTTGAAAAGGGATGGAGAAGTTGAGGTGAGGGAGGGTGTTGAATTGAATTGGTGGTTGTGCTTTGCATTGCTGGTGGTAGGGGAGAAAGGGGTCAGGAGGTGAAGGGTGGTTGAGGGGGGTTGGGGGGTGGGCCAACAGGGAAGGGGCAGGACGACTTTTGAGAATTCTCAAAGGTTCGCACCAAAGGTCGCACTAATATAGAAGAGGGCAAACAGGGGCAGGACGAAGGATAAAGTAAGATGGTAACATTGCACTGCGTGTACCTACCTCGTAACACCGTGACAATGTTACCTCATAACATGTGCTTATGTCACAACATCACAACAAGGTTACTTTAAAACAAACGCACCTGGCAAGTAACCATCTCGCCTTGTAACCAGCTCACCTTGTAACCAGCTCACCTTGTAACCATCTCACCTTGTAATCAGCTCACCTTGTAACCAGCTCACCTTGTAACCAGTGCAATCATCTCCCCCTGTGCGTTCACCACCGCGCCTCCACTCGCCCCGGCATGCACTGCTGCAGTCGTCAGCACCATCGCTGCCACCCTCCCCCCTCTCTGCCCTCCTTTGCTCCTGTGCGCCTCCTCCCCTCTTCGCTCCACTGTACTTAGACACGTCTCTACCTGTTGCCGCCCGCCGTTCAACCAATCAGGTGCGCTAGTGCTGCTGCTCTTGGTATCAAATCCCTGCTCTTGCTGCTGCTCGTGCTCCAGGTCAACTGTGACGATCCGAGAGACGATGCCTGAGAAGACTGATGGGGGGGTGGCTGGAAGAGGGGGAGGGAGGGGGGGTGGAGGGGGATGAAGGCAGAACGGGAAAGGTATTAAGTCTCTGCTCTTGCTGTCGCTCGTGCTCCAGGTTGACTGTGACGACTCAAGAGATGATGCCTGAGAAGACTGATGGGGGGGTGGCTGGAAAAGAGGGGGTTGGGGGGGGGGGGGAGAGGATGAAAGCAGAACGGGAAAGGTCTTGAATTTCTGCTCTTGCTGCTGCTCGTGCTCCACGACGACTGTGACGATCCGAGAGACGATGCCTGAGAAGACTGACGGGGGGGTGGCTGAAGGGGGGGGATTAAAAGGCAGAGTGGGCGGGTGGGAGATGGGGTTACGAGGGTGAGGGATTGAAGAAGTGTTTTGAGACGTCTCTTAGCAGACTTGCTGCGTATCGAATCTAATGAATTTTAACCAAAACACTTCTTCAATCAGATGGGGTTACGAGGGTGAGGGAGGTGGAGATGTAAAGCGACAGAACGGAATGGTTGAATGGGTTTGCAAGAGGTGATGGTAGCACTTATGAGGGAAGAACTGGCAAAGATTAAGGTAAGTGCAAAAAAATAAAATAAACGTTGCACGTACCCAGGGCAGGTGGGAAGACTTTTGAGGCGCCTCAAAGGGCGGGTGGGAAGACAGCATAACCAATGACGACAGCAGTGGCGCCACACTCGAGCTCAGAGGCACTTGGGCGAATGGGGTGGACAGCCAGACTGCTGCTGCTCTCAAGACTGCTGAAGAAAGTTCAGTGCACGTACCGAGGGCTGGAGGGAAGACAGCATAACCAATGACGACAGCAGTGGCGCCACACTCAGGCTCAGAGGCACTTGGGCGAATGGGGCGGACAGCCAGACTGCTGCTGCTCTCAAGACTGCTGAAGAAAGTTCAGTGCACGTACCGAGGGCTGGAGGGAAGACAGCATAACCAATGACGACAGCAGTGGCGCCACACTCAGGCTCAGAGGCACTTGGGCGAATGGGGCGGACAGCCAGACTGCTGCTGCTGCTGTGTTGCTGCTGACCCCCTTGTCCTGCATCTGCTGGCTGCGCTGTGGTCTTATGTTGGCACGCTTGTGTGGGATGGGTATGACTTGATGGTGCAGGTGGTATCTGGTGCAGGGACTGACTGTTGCCCAGAGGTGCAGGTGGCATCTGGTGCAGGTGCTGTCTGTTATCTAGAGGTGCAGGTTCCAGTGCAGGTGCGGGTGGTATCTGGTGCAGGTGCAACAGGGCAACGTCCAGCGAGCCAGAGCACACATAGATGATACCTGCCCTCACCCATGCTGCTGGTGGTGGTGGGAAACATGGGTTGGAGGAGACAAGGGAGGAGGGTGGAGTGGAGGAAGGAAGAGGAGAGGAGGCCGGAACTCGAACCCAAATGTCGTGAGCAGGGGGGGAGGAGAGGAGGTCAAGAGAAGGCGAGGAGAAAGAAGACGAGGAGGAGGAAGTGGATGAGGAAGAGGAGGAGACAGAGAGAGGAGAGGAGAGGAGCGAGGAAAAGGTTGAAGAGTGGGCGTCTGAAGGGCTCTCAGTCCTTAAATTGTGGAAACTCGTTCTCTGAACTGACAGCTGCTGCTGCTTGAGCAAGGGAGTGAGGATGTGAGCGTTGGTGAGTATGAGGCCTGAGGGGGAGATGATCACCCCAGAGCCCCACACTGTCCCTCCCACCACTATGCCTACAACAGATGGCAGTGCTGCTGCTACCGCTCTCACCACACCTCCTCCTGCCCCTTCTCCTGCCCCGCTGCTTCCTGCTCCTATACCTTCTCCTCCTCCTGCTTCTGTTCCTACCCCTGCCTCTCCTGCAAGGGATGGCCATGTGTCTGGTACGGCAGCTGCTGCAAGGGAGCGCTGTACTTGTGTATTCAGTGGGAGCATTTCACCGGTGCTGCAAGCGATTGGAGCTGTGTCTACTGCTCGGCATGATGCAGCATCGATCTTATAAAACGGTAAATCGTTCATCTTTCTCAAAAATATATCATCTGATGCAGGAACTGGTTCTTGAGAATTCTCAGGAACTGTTTTGAGACGTCTCAAAACAGGAACTAGGGCCCTGTGTGGTTTGGGTTGGGCAGTTGTGGATTCGTGGGTGTGTGATGACGTGTCAGACACTGATTGGATGGCAGATGCCATTGATGAGATGGAAGCAGCAACCTGAAGAGAGGGAGGTGAGGGAGAAGAGCGGATGAGCAAATAGGGTCGAGTGGGGAAAACAGGGTAATATAATTTGCAGAAAGCGTATACTTTGCAGAAAACAAGGTAATTTTGCTTTAAGTTCTGCGTGGTGGGAACAGATAGATAGATAGATAGTGTTTTGAGACGTCTCATAACACGGCTGGTGGGAACAGATAGATAGATAGTCCAAAGCAGGTGGGATATACAGCCTGTGGTTCCGCAGAATATTACATGGCTTGTGGCTAGGGGAAAAGATGTAATAAAATTGATGCATCCCATGGCGTGTGATGTGATATGACTAACCGGGATGGTCACGGTGGCTGATGGCATGAGAGGATGGTGCATGGTCACAGGTGGCAGCAGCATGGCCTTGATGCATCCCATGGCGTCTAACACTGGCGCCCCTTCCATGCCTGTGAAGCGATGCCACGCCATGCCATGTGATGACATTCCATACATACAAATCATACCATGCCATGCATGCCATGCCATGCCATGCCATACCATACATACAGATCGTACCATGCCATGTCATAACAGGCAATATCACGCGATGCCAATGCCATGTCACCAGGAAGCAAAGGTGCGGAAAACCTGACGAGAAACATGATGGTTGCTGATTTTTTAACATGATGTTTTTTTTTTTAGGCGCCTCGAAAGAAAATCTAAGAGAATTCAAAATAACCTCAGCAAATAAAGGTACTTGCAACAACCTCAGCAAATAACGGCACATGATATCTGACCAGATTTCGCCTTTTGCTTCCTGACTGCTTAAGCCTTCTGACAGGTTAAGACTCACCAGATCTTATCAGATTTCATCCCATCTTATATCCCCTGGTCACTACCTGGCAAAAAGGGGAGGTCGAGGGCTAGGATCCCCCCAGGCAGAACTGCTGAGAGCACTCCGGATGACAGACTGATAGATGGGCAGTGAAGGGGGAAGGAGCGGTGCGGAGGAATTAAGGAAGGAGAAAAGTGAGTGGGCAGGGAGAGAGGGAGAGACACAGGTTGAGGGCTAGGATCCCCCCAGGCAGCACTGCTGAGAGCACTCTGGATGACAGGCTGACAGATGGGCAGTGAATGAAAGGGGAGGGGAGGGGAGGGGATGAGGAGGAAGGGGCGATAAGGAGGAAGGGAATGAGTGAGCACGTTGAAAGACTGAACAGGTTCAAGAGTTCTGGCCTACACTGTAACACAACAAACTAAATATTTCAGATTTTGTTGGTTGCAACGGAATGTGGTGTCGCATACCCCTCACTGTGTACTCCTTATAAACATCACCAATACACCCCTGATAAGAATCACCTGCGTACCCCTTATAAGCATCACCTGTTGGCGAACAGGGTCGGTGCAAGCACTCCAAATGGTGAACCAAGCAACAAGACAGGACTGCCAGGTGTCAATGTGTCATTGGCGGAGGAGGTTGATGGGGAGCTGACCTGGCAGTGCGTGCGTGACATGTGGGGGAATTAGGTGGGATAGGAAAGGAGCACATGTGTTCATCACATCAAATGGAGAAGCAAATGGATCCTTCTCCTTCCACAAGGAGAAGCAAATGGAGCCTCTGATGCTGCGGATACCAGCGTATGAGGCTGATAAATGGACCTGTTTTCCAAATGAGAAGGCATGACGCTGGTATCCACGGATGGCAGTGGTTGGAATCACTTTTGAGAACTCCCAAAAGTGATCTCACATAGTACAGTATGGCACGGATTTGAAATCTGAAACGTTTCATAACACGGCGGGGCAAGATCAATGGCACGGTACAATGGCAAGGAACAGAGGCTGGGCAGGGCAGCAAAGGTTGGCAGACATTTTCCCGTGCCTCATTTGCTGCGTTCCTCCACTTTGGCTTGGTCCCATACCTTCAGTTCATGCCTCAGCCTCATCTGCTCCTGAACCATGCACCGCAATGCCTCTGACGCTGCCGCCGCCACTGGTACTGGCCCTGCCCCAGCTCCTGCTCCTGCCGCTGCCCCTGCCCTTGCCCCTGCCCCCGCCCCTGCCCCTGCCGCTGCAGCTGCCACTGTCGCTCCTGGTGATGGTGGTTGGATGAGTCTCACACGCAGCACTGCTATCTCGAGAGCATTCGGTGTTGATTCTGCTGCTTGTGGTGATGGTGGTGGCTGTGCTGCATGGGAGGAAGAGGAGGAGGAGAGTGAGGCGGAGGGGATTGAGGAGGAGGACGGGGGAACGGAAAGGAGGGTGGGCGGGGAGGGTGTGTTAGCGGGCTGGAGAGACGCTAAGGACGAGGTGATGGCTGGAATATTCACCTGGGAAGACACAAGGAGCGAGGTGGCCAACGGGATTTGGGATGAGGAATAGGGGAGTGAGGGGGAGGGGAAGGGGGGGGGAGAGGGAGGGGAGAATGAGTGGGGAGGTGTTAGCGGACTGGAGAGACGCTAAGGACGAGGTGATGGCTGGAAGATTCACCTGGGAAGACACAAGGAGCATGGGAGGGGGACGGAAATGAGGAGGGGGTAAAAGACGAAGGGAATGGATGGAGAGAGTGGGGGTCAATAGACCGGAGGAACTTCTAGTTGGCTCAAAGGCAGTGGATACTTATTGGATACTTCCACCTGGGTTCCGGGAATAAATGTGCTGACCGGACCACACTAATAGCTTCTTCCACCTTCATGCACATCTCACATCTTCCAACCGCTTCTCACATCTTCCAACCGCTTCTCACATCTTCTCCTCACATCTTCTCTGGCAAGGCAGAGGCAGGCACTCACAAAGCAGAGCAGCTCCGCTGGAAGAGAGAAGGGTTGCGAAGGCCCTTGTAGGGATGGCGACTGGCGAGAGGGAGTGATGGAAAGGAGGGTTAGTAGGTGTGCATGAAGATTATTCTTGAGGTGCCTAAACAATGGTGCGCTATTGGAGACACAATGGTAATGGGGCACGGAACAGGTGCGAGAGGGGACAGAGGGACAATGGAGCATTTGGAGAAGAGTCATGGTAGCAGCACAACAGGGCTTTTGGAATTTCAAAAGCAAGCGGCCCCAACATAGTTGAACGCGCATGCCATCTGTGCTGGACTGACTGCAGTAGCGGCAGGCAGCTCAACGCTAATAAGGTACTAGCGTTTACTAATACCTCAAAGGTAATATTGATGCGCGTGCCAGGAAGCAGAGGGGGAGCAGAAGGGTTTCGCTGCTGCTGCTGCTGCTGCTGCTGCTGCTGCCGCTGCTGCTGCTGAAAGGGCCAGCGTTGCTGTGCTGATTGGTATTTGAAAGCCTGCTGCTGCTGCAAAGTGTGGTAGTTGGACGGTTGTTGCTGCTGCATGACAAAGGATCGAACAATCCGACCAGGCACAAGTACCGTAACCTCCTCCTCATTCCACCCGCACCTGCTACCCTCCTCCCGATCCCACCCACTCATTTTACCCTCCTCCCCTTCTCCCATCGCTCCCTTTTCCGCCATCATTTCCCCATGCCTATCCCACCCGGACCTGCCATTGCTCTCTGCCCCTGCCACCAGTCCCCCTGCCCCCACCACATGCCCATCCAGCTGGGGTCCTAGATCAGACAGTCGCCCCGGCAGCACGATACCAGACGCTGACACGGCTGTTGTTCCATTGCTGGTTGCGGAGTGGTGGGTGGGGATGGGAGGGGGAGTACGGAAAGAAGGGAAGGTTCTTGAGGAGCCTCACAACAGCTGCCCTGGCAGGCAGCACGATACTAGAGGCTAGCACAGCGGTTGTTCCCTTGCTGGTTGTGAAGGTGGTGGGGATGGGAGGGAGGGTGGGGGGAAGTAAAGGTATTGGAGGCGCCTGAGAAGAAATCAGGTGCCCAGGCAGCACAGACCAAGCTTGTTCAGAAAACTAAATCAAAAATCAGCTGTAAACAAAAAACTCAACAGTGCCCGCCCAGGCAACACAGCCTTATTGGAGTCACTTTTGATCTTACGCACAAGTGACAACAGTGCCCAGGCAACACAGCCTTATTGGAGTCACTTTTGATCTTACGCACAAGTGACAACAGTGCCCAGGCAGCACAGCTGAAGATGTTGACACGGCTGTTGCAGCGTTGATGGTTTCACAAGGTGGGGGGAAGGGTAGAGGGAAAGGGGCCAGCTGGCGTAAGTAAGAGGTTAGGAAGGAGGGTAACCGGGACGGGTGTGGGCAGGTAAAAGAGTACGGTGGAAAGAGGTTGGGAGGGTAGGAGCATGAGGTGGGGGGGAGGAGGGAGGGGATACCAAGGACGAATGGTGTGAGAAGAAAAAATCACACCTCCCATCTCTCCCCCCTTTTCTCCCCCACAAATCCCCGTTCCCCCTCGCAGCCACCCAGATGTTTGCCCAGCCTGCTTGTTACCTGGACTTGAGTCGACTCAAAAACAGGCCCAGCCTGCTTGTTACCTGGACTATATTGAAATCACTTTTGAGAATTCTCAAAAGTGATTTCAATATCGCAGGCACCCAGATGTTTGCCCAGTCTGCTTGTTACCTGGACTGGAAAAAGTCGAACCGCAGCAGCTTACGGCCCTTGGGATCCTGCAGTCAACAAAAGTCAACGACAGTGAAGGGGATTCAACGGTATTCAACGGAAAATTGTGCCAACAGAAAAGGGAGAAGCGACGAATGACGTCGTTCAGAGACTTGCGGGCCCCTGCACGCGAAAGAGGCGACTCTGAGTGACTCATAAATCACTCTGTTTCGTGAACGCGCAGGGGGACGCGATGAAACGACACAATCAGGGACTTGCGGGCCCCTGCACGCGAAATAGGCGACTTCTAAGTCGACTCATAAATCACTCGCAGGGGGAGTCGACTTCTAAGTTGTTAGAAAAAATCACACCTCCCATCTCTCCCCCCTTCTAAGTTGCTTCTAAACGCGCAGGGGGAGGCGATGAAACAACACAATCAGAGACTTACGGGCCCCTGCACTCGAACGAGGCACCCCGAAGATTTCGCCAGCCGCACTACTCTGTCGTCCATGGCTCCGGCTCTCTCGAGGTATTCTACCAGCCAATGAGCCGATGTTTGAACGATTTCTGTACAGGAATTCAAGTACCAGTTAGATACTAGCTATGACGTGAAAAACTGCGTCAAATTCGCCGCTCTCGATCAGTCCAGCCGTGGCTTCATCATCGCTCCTTCGCTTGCCCACGTTCCTCCTCTCGCCGCTTCCCTTGCTATCCGACGCTGTCTGCTTTTTGGGCAAACTTATCAAGGGCGTGTCGGGAGTAAGAGAACAAGTCGACACGCGCGGAGGTCACGGAGAGTTACGGTGCATTCAATGCGCGTGTTCTGTGCGTGCAAACTCTCCTCTCCTATCCTCAGTAGCCTAATTAGTCTCGAGCGCCCAACAGACACCAGTCATCATGTCAACCTAGCCTGGTGTTTGTACCCGATAAAGTTAGGGAATCTATTTGAATTAAACAGTCGAGAAGTAGCTGCACCATCTTATTCATGTTGCCTATGATGTTTTCTTCAATGAAACGTAATATTTGCCCAAAAGAAGGCATATGCATGGGTTTTCGGTAAACGGAGGTTTTGAACGCTGCAGTTCGGTTCCTCTGCCGCAGCAGACAGCCTGGCCGTCTGTCGTGACTTGGTGGTCCAGCTCCAGCACCACCGCCCACCACACAAGCAAGAGCACCAGCTCACCAGTGGTGCACTTGTCGTTACAGAGCATCGCCAGTTGGCTGGCTGGGTTGAGAAGGGCGAGCACTGACCGTCCGATGGTCGTTAGGTTGTCCACGTTATCGCGGCTGAGTGGACGATCGGTTCGATTGCCAGCGAATCTGTCGCAATTGACGCTCGACCGTTGGATGGGAGAATTGACACGCGGACCGCGGTAGACTGTGCAGAGTAGCACGCGTGGCAAAACGGCATCAACTCGACCCACAGCACAGCAGGGCCTGAGGCAAAAAGTTCAACAACATTTGTTCCGTACGCTGACTGGATTGGATGGGCCCTCCCTTCGTTCGAGTGCTCGTTTGCTTGTGGTTTGGTACGACAATCAGTCTCGTGACTCGAGAATTGATCAGGTCGATTTGAAACTGTACAGATATGACACGTCTCCAGCTTGCTGGAGAGAGTCTCGTCGAGTGGTGTCGTCGTCTCGCTTATTTCTCCTGATACGCGAAGTGAACCGCGAGAAATGGATAGAGCCCACTAGAGTACAGTGTAGTGAGGTCGAGTTGAAGCACCGAGTGGACACTGATGTGACGTGACGACGACAAGGACGGGTTTCGTTTTCGCAGGCCTCGCATATCGCAGCGCGAGCACACAGCAGGTTACAGGTTACACAGTACAACACTACACAGTGCGACACAGAGCAGCTAGTGTAGGTGGTTCCTCCCTGCCTTCCTCCTCTCCACATCACATCACTTCCATTCCATCCATCCCTCCCTCCCCAAACAAAAGCGAGTAGTATTTCCCGTCAGCATGCACCTCCCATCGCAAATAGGTCTACGCAGTAGATGCAGTTTATATGCAACCTTAGATTCGCGTGCGCACACGCAGTTAGCATGTCCTCCCACCATTCACGGCATATCCCATCCACCCTAACCTTTCCCAGTAACACCTGACCAGAAGAGTGTACTAGTAATCTACTTAGCAAAACTTCACCTCGTTTTCCAAACATGGGTCGCAACAGTTCGACCACCAGCAGCAGCAGCGCCGGGCATTCTAGCGCTGACCCTAACCCTAACCCTAGCAACGGGCCGCCACGAACCACGGGCCGGCAGGGCCGCCACAAACACAGCTACAGCATGGACTATTCAACGGCCTCTCCTCTCGCGCTTCCGCCGTCCGGTCGTAAGCCTAGGTCGCAGAACAACAGCCCAGGCGACAATGGCGGCCACCGCGGCGGCGGCGGGAGCAGGCAGTCGCCTCTCTCGGGCGTGACGGCTCACAGTGGCGGCGGAAGCGCGAAGAAGTCTTCCTCGTGGATGCCTCAGATGCCTCAAATGCCGCATCTTAGTCCGCGCTTCCTATGCTCAGCGGGAATGCCGCCGGAACTTCAAAACGGTTATTTCGGCCATTTGGATCTCGGCGACCGCGACGAAGACGACGACGATGACGAAATTCTCGGTGGCCAATTGGGTAACCGATCGCGTAGCGAAGTCCTCTACAGGCGCCCGCTCGTCGCAGACGCCGTCGAGGTCAGCTGCAGCCGCGGCGGCGGCAGCGGCGGGTACTCCCGCGCGAAGACCGAGATCCCGCGGAACGCGCGCGCAAGAGCCGCAGCCGCAGCCGCTGCCACCTCCCGCTCGCCTGCGCCTCGAGGCGGCGGCGGCGGCGCGGCCAGCGCGGGCGCAGCGGCAGGGCTCGACGCGCATCAGCAGGAGGAGGCGGACGCTGATGAGGAGGAGAGCGAGGAGCGGTTCGGCAGAGCTAGCTCCATGCCTGCCTCGATGCACCGGCGGCGAAGATCCCTAGGCGGCGGGTTGGTCTCCCTAGGGTCTGGCGGTCTGACCTCCCTAGGATCCCCTGGCGCGCCTGGCGGGCTGGCTTCGTGCTTGCAGCCTAGATCGTCGGAGATGGACGAAGACACTACAATCCGCTTTACAGAAGGACCCGCCATAAGTTCTAGGTCGAGCTCTGGAAGGATCGGCGGCGGGGTTCTGGATGGATCGCTGACCTCTGGTGATGATGATAGTGGTCGGTTTGATAGTGGTAGGTCCGGTAGTGACCGGTTTGGTAGTGGTAGGCTTGGGAGTGGTAGGCTTGGTAGTGGTAGGCTCGGCAGTGGTAAGCTCGGTAGTGGTAGGTTTGGTGATGATCGCTTGTCAACCGACTCTTTCTCTGGCCGCGGGGAGAATGTCAAGGGTGGGGCACCGAATCCGAAAGTTCGCCGAAGCTATTCCGGAGCTTCGGACAGCTCAGGTAGGCTCGGTGACAGGCCTGGGGACAGAGTAGGAGAGGCGTATCCGGATGGGCGGGTTGAGAGTCTGCTGGAAGAACGTGCCTCAAACAATATCGCGTACAAGGGAAGAGGCTCGCAATCAGGGCCGTTGATGCCCCGCTGGTCACTGCAAATAAACGGCTGCGATCAATCAGGGTCCGAGCGCACAGAGGAACCTTCCTCTCACCCGCCGCGGAGACCTACAGGTGCAGCAGAGCGGCTCAAGTCCCGCAGTTACATTGGAAGGAGCTTCTCAGGTGGGGGTATGGAATCTATAGCTGCTTCTGCCGCTGCTGCTGCTGCTTCGGCGTCTAGTGTTGAGTCGAGTAGAAAACCAGGTGCTGCTGCACAGAGGCTTAAGTCCAGCAGCTTCATTGGGCGGAGTTTTTCTGGGGGGGGTGTGGAGTCTGCATCTGCTTCTGCTGCTGCTGCGGCGGCGTCTATCCGCGCTGCATTACGGGCGTCCGTGCTTCGAAGCTCGTCAGGAGTGGGGAAAGAGGGGCAGGCGGGAGATGGACAGGGGAGAGAGGGACAGGGGGGACAGGCAGGAGGGGGGCAGAAAGGGAGAAGCGGAGGATCGGGTCGATGGTTGATTGCAAAGAGCTTCTCAGGAAGCCGTGCTCGCACAGGTGATGCTGCTGCTGATGCTGCTGCTGCTGCTGTTGCTGCTGCTGCTGGTAGTGATGCTGCTGCTACTAATGGTGATGTTGAGGCTGCTGACGGTAAGTTTCGGGTGGATGAGTCACGTTCGGCCAGCGTGCGAGGCACGGGTGGGGAGGAGGAGGAGGGATTTGGAGTGTGTGGCAGGGAGAGCAGGGACGGTGGCAGGAGAGAAGGGATGGAGGAAGAGGAGGGATCAGGAGAGTGTGGTGGGGGGAGCATTGACAGTGAGGAGGAGGAGAGTGAGAAAGAGGAGGAAGAGCGGGGAGAGGGGGGAGAAGAGGAAGAGGGGGAAGAGGTGGAAGAGGAGGAGGGCGAGGAAGTAGCTGTAGGGAGAGGGTTGTGGGAAGATTACAACGAGGGTGGAACTCTGAGAGCCGAGATGAGCTTACGAGACAGTGGATGGTCACCGGAGCAAGGGCAGTACGGAGCAGCGGATTGGATGAAGCACCCCAGCAGCAGGTTGATAGCAATGAATCGAGATGAGGTGGACGAGGAAGAGGAGGGAGAGGAGGGAGAGGAGGGTGAAAGAGAGGAGGGTGAAGGAGAGGAAGAGGAAGGAGAGGAGGGAGAGGAGGAGGAGAGGCAGGGCTTCATCCTGAGCAGCGGAGGTGTGGAAATGGAGGGTGCTGGGTGGCGGGAAGGGGGTTTCCAGGAATCTTCCGAGCCAATGCAAGATTCAAAACTAGGTGATACTCCGGATGGAAGCTTCCAGGAAAATGAGAACGACGGAGGAGGGTTTGGGATGGATAGGAGGCTATTGATGGGTGCTCCTTTGCTCAACCCCAATGCAGTGTTTGAAACGCCCCAGCAGCAAAGGGCGCTCATAGGAGCCCCTTCTCTCAACCCTAACGCAGATTTCGAGACTCCTCAGAAAAGGGTTTTGATGGGAGCTCCTTCGCTCAATCCTGATGCAGTTTTTGAGGTGCCCCAGCAGAGGGAGCTTATAGGGGCGCCGTCCCTTAACCCTGACGCGGGCTCACAGGCGTTTTGGGCGAGTTTGAAGGAGGGGAGAGGGGCGGATGTGTGGCATAGGGAGGCGGAGACGATTGCGGAAGAGGGGGATGGGGGAGAGGGAGGGGAAGGGGAAGAGGATGGGGAGGGGGAGGAGGGGGATGGGGCGAGTGGTGTGTTTGATCTGGCGCAAGGGCTGATGATGCAGGGAGAGGGGGGAGGTGTGGAAGAAGGAGGAGGGTTCGGTTTTGATGTGGGGGAGAGGGAGGAGGGAAACTGGGATGGAGGAGCAGCAGGGTACGAGGTTGGTGGCAGCAGGAGTATGGGGCGAGACATGGGTGTTGGTGGTCCGTGGGAGTCAGTGCGAGAAGCAGAGAGGGAAATGGATTCAGTATGCAGCAGCAGCAGCACTGCAATGCTGTTCAGAGGGAGTCAGAGCCTGGGAGCACCGGGAGTTCAAGGGGAGCTTCAAGAGAGGGATGATGGAAATGGGGAGTTTCAAGAAGGCGAGGTTGGATCAGACCTGTGGGGAAGGGCTGCAAGGGTTGAAAGCAGATATTCTTGCCAGGAGAAAAGCAGCAGCAGCAGCTTTCAGGCGTCCCCTGGTAGGTTCCTATACTCTGCTTCTGTTAGAGAGCCGCGCACCACCAGCAGCGGCTTCGGCAACAGCAGCAGTATCTTCGGCTCCAGTAGCAGCGTCGGCAACAGCGACATCGGCAGAAGCATTATCGGCGGCGTTGGCAGCAGCAGCAGCCGCTTCGGCCCGCGCGGGTTTGCAGCAGAGCGAGACATCGGGTCGTTTGCTGACGTGGACAGCGACGCCATGGCACGGCTGGCGCGTGACGCAGCATCCCTGCTGGCACTCGATCTAACCACAAACGACCTATCTGCACCTGCCCCCTCCTCCTCCTCTCGCCCCAGCAGCCCGTTTTCCGGCCCGCTTTCCGGCCTGCTCCGCCGGTCCAAAACCCCCCCTCGCTCCCCCAACCAGACCCCCCCACGCACCCCCCCGCGCTCCCCCTCCCGCACCCCCACCCACACCCCTCCCCGCACGCCCCCCGGCGGGGCCAGTCCAAAACGGTTCTTAGATAAGTGCAGGAGCGCGAGACTTGACCGACCTAGTAGTCCTCTCAGGTTTGATCGGCCTGGGAGTCCCCTGAAGGGGGTGTGGGGTGTGTTGACGGGCCAGGGCGATGGGGGGAAAAGCGGGTGGGAGAGGATTGATGTCGATGCTGTGGTGGCTAGCGCTGCTGCAGCTGCTTCGTCTGTGGGAGGTGGTGGTGGTGCGAGTGATAGGTTAGTGCTGACGAGAGCAAAGACTGATAGCAGGGGGATGGATGATGGGGATGGGGATGGAGGGGGGTTTGGCGGGTTGTGGAGAGGGAGCGGGATGGGGGTGGGGATGGGGGTGGGAGTGGGAGGGGGGCCGGAAGTGACTGCTTCTTGGAGAGAGAGGGTGAGCATGGCAGCATCACCCATGGGAAACGATGGAGGGGAGGGAGGTGCGGGGGAAGGAGGGTGGCGCGAAGGAGGAGGAGGAGGTGACGGGGGGGTTGAAGGGAACTGGCTAGCAAGAGAAGGAGCAGCAGTTGCAGCAACGGAAGTAGTAGCAGGGGGCATGGTTCAGAGAGAAGATACAGTAGAGGAAATGAGAGGAGGAGGGGGAGGGGGAACACCAGTAGCAGCAGCAGGGGCAAGTACAATGAGGGGAGGAGGAGCAGAGGCAGCAGCAGTAGACAAGGAAGCAGCACTGGAAAACGCGTGGATGATGGCGGAAGGGGAAGAGGAAGAAGAAACTCCAGATTTTGACGATTTCAGCCGCACACGAACCTTCACCTCTGCCATCCTAGCCGGAATCACCAAGAGAGTCACCGGGCCTAAGGCTGGGCCTGCCAAGCCTGGAGCCACCAAGCCTGGGTTCGCCATGCCTGGGCTTGGCAAGAGGGAGGATCCGGGTAGTAGCAGCAAGACGGTGGTTCGGAGGACTGTTAGTGATACGCTCAAGGATGCGGCAAAGGAGGGAATGGTGAAGGGCGAGGGGAAGCAGGGCAAGTGGTGGGCTTTCAGGGAGAAAGGGGAAGAGAGCGGTAGGGTGTTAGGGGGGCCTGGATGGGGTATTCTGGCCTCCAAGCCGAGACCAGGGGAGGAGGGAGGGGGTTTAAAGGGTGCACCTGCACTGGAGGCACATGGTCTAGGTGGGTCAGGTAGGTTAGGTGGGCACAATGGGGATAGTAAGGACGAGGAGGAGAAGGAGCGGGGCGGACTGTTTGGTTCCGCTCATACCCAACACCACCACCACTCGCGGCAGAAGTCGCAGATTTCGTTTGGGTCTGTTGCTGATTCTGCTCTGCTGTCTGGCCTGCCTTCGTTCCTTAAGTCGGTCACTTTCACCTCTGCTGAAGCCCAGGCGCACCACAAGCAGCAGCAGCAGCAAGAGGAGGAGGGGGAGGATCAGCTGCGGATGCAGCAGGGGGATGAGATGCCGGCAGAGTTATCAAGTCATGCACAGGAGATTGAGACACATGGGGGACCGTACGAGTCGTATGAATCGCGGGAACACACACAACAGCACAGAGAAGCAGATGAGGAGGAGAACCCTGAAGAGCAGCAGCAGCAGCAGCAGCATAGGCCGTGGGGGTCTGCTGTGGGGTGCAGCTCGGTGGAGGAGGGTACAGCACGGTACCCTGCAAATCAGCAGCACAGCGATGGCTTGTGGGGCAGCAGTGGGGTGCACTGGAGGAGCAGTGGCAGTGCGGTGGAACGGCTGAGGGACGAGGCTGGCTGTGCTGCTTCCGACCCCAGCAGGGGTAGGAGCCTTTCCCGAATGCGCCCTGGTGTCAGTGCCTCTTTCTCTGGTCGTCTGCCTGCTGCTGCTACTGGTACTGCTGCTGCTGCTTCTGCTGCTAATGTTCCAACTACCACTACTGGTGATGGTGCAACTACCCCCATTGGTAATGGCGCAACGACCCCGACTGGTGGTGATGCGTCTGGCCCTGCTATCAGCCCTGTTGTCACTCCACGTGTTGCCTACTTCTCCTTCGACAAGTACCGCGAGGCTGTAGCAGGGGGAGGCTCGTCCGGGGGAGGTGCATCTGCAGAGGAGCGCAATGCGGAGGAGTACCTGCTATCTCACTCCTTTGGCAGCGGCAGGTCTAGAAGCAGGAGCAGCTTCAGCGGCAGATACGGCAGCAGCATTGGCGGTGGTGGTGGTAGCGGGAGTTTGACTCCCCCTCCTAGAGGAGCATTGGGGAAGAGTGGCAGCGGTTGCTTGACCCCTCCTTCTGGCGCACTGGGTAAGAATGGCAGCGGTAATTTGACCCCTCCTTCTGGTGCGTTGGGTAAGAGTGGGAGTGGCAGCCTTACGCCTCCTGGAAATATGTTTAGTCGCGGTGGCATGGGGAATGGGAGCGTGACCCCTCCAGGAAATATGTTCAGCAGGAGCGGCAGCAGGAGAGGGTTCACTCCGTCAGCAGGGGACATGTCTAGTCGGAGGCAAGCAGGAGACTGGACTTCACCGGGGGGAAGCAACCACAGCACCCACAGCAACCACAGCAACCACAGCAACTACAACCAGAGGAATGCCTGTGTTCGTAGCCACAGCCATAGCCACAGCCACCAGGAGCAGGAGGTTCACACCACGAGCAGCCACTCCCACCTGCAGCGAGGGTTTCCCCACGTGCGTGGGGGCGTTGAGCGAGTGGCCTCGGATTGTGCGGCAGACAAGAGAGCGAGGGAACGAGAAGCGGATAGATGGGACGAGGCAGAGCAAGGGGATGGTGTGCGAGGGCGAGTAGGGTCAGGCCGCATGAGTGGAGAGGGGGAGGGGGTGCTTCTGACTGCCAGTCTGGGAAGGCGGGTTGGGGAAGGGCAAGGGGGTTTGCGTGGGTCGCGGCTGGGGAAGGGTGGTAGGGGCGACAAGGCGGCAGTGAGAGGGGTGGAGGAGGGTGAGAGGGAGGAGGGGGAGGAGGAGGAGGTGGGGAGTTGTGGTTCCCGTGCAAGCAGGGTGGCGGATGGAGCGTCGGGTGGGGCACGGCCAAAGTACGACAGGAAGGCCAGGTCAGTATTGCTGGCAGGCATGCAAGCATGGGGTCTGGTTTTCAAGTTATGGCACTCCACACCCGAGTGCCAGCGGCGTCTTAGTGCTTTTTAGGGTTTCGGTAATCCAGAAGAGCCAAGCGTTAGGGTTTATGCTTTAGGGTTTCAGATAGTGTTTTAGGGTTCTAGGGTAGAGACGTGCGATTGAACTCCACACCTGAGCGGCAGCGGCCTCTGGAGCGTCCGGCAACCTCATCTGCTGCAGCAGGGGTTGGCAGGCCCCCCATCCACCACGCCCACTCCGCCTCTCTGGCTGCTCGTTCTGCTTTTTATTTGTGCAACTCCCCTTCCTTCCTCTCTCTTCTACCCACCGCCCCCGACACCAGGAGTCGCACCTTTGGCAATCCAGAAGAGCTCGTGGACCTCTACCCTCCCCCCGGCGCCTTCGAGCGGTCCCACTCCACACCCGAGCGGCGGCGGCCTCTTGATCGCCCAGCAACCTCCTCTGCTGCAGCAGGGGCTGGGAGACCTCCCATCCACCACGCCCACTCCGCCTCTCTGGCTGCTCGCTCCCTGGTGAACGGGCATGGGAGTGGGCAGAGGCTGAGAGGAGGTGAGTCCGGGCGGATTGGAGGGAGCAGATTGTCTGGGAAACAGCAGAGGAACCAGGGGTGGGACGAGCAGCAGGGGCGGTATGGGGAGGAGCATGAGCACAAGCAGGGGTATGAGGAGCAGCAGTATGAGCAGAACTATCAGCCGCAGCAAGTGCGGGAGAAGAAACAGCAGAAGGGGCGTAAGGAGTCGGGGGCAGCGCTGCATGTGGCGTGGAGGCAGTTGGAAGGGGAGGAGGAGGAGGAAGAGTGGGATAGGCAGAATTCAGATCCTGTGGCAGGCGGCAGGGGGAGGGTGAAGGCTGTAAGGAAGCTAGTGGAGGACGAGGAGAATGGAGAGTGGGGACGGCAGAACTCAGATCCTGTGACAAGCGGCAGGGGGAGAGTGAAGGCTGTAAGGAGGCAAGTTCAGGAGGAGGAGGATGGAGAGTGGGGCAGGCAGAATTCAGATCCTGTAAAAGGGAGCAGGGAGAGGGTGAGGGCTGGAGGGAGGCACGTGGAGAATGAGGAGGATGGGGAGGATGGAGAATGGGGACGGCAGCACTCAGAACCTGCGAAACGCGGCAGGGAGAGGGTGAAGGCTGGAAAGGGGCACGTGGAGAACGAGGAGGATGGGAGTGATGGAGAATGGGGACGGCGGCACTCAGAACCTGTGAAAGGCGGCAGGGAGAGGGTGAAGGTGGGAAGGGTAGACGAGGAGGTTGAGGAGGAGAGAGAGTGGGATTCTGTGGAAGGCGGCCGGTCTGTGAATGCTGGATGGAGGCATGAGGAGGCCGATGAGGAGGAAGGAGAATGGGCTGAGGAGGACGGAAAGTGGGGCAGGCAGACGCACTGGAATTGTGTGAAAGATGGCAGGGAGAGGGAGAAGGCGGGACGGAGGCAAGTGGAGGAGAGGGAGATGATTGGATACGGTGGGGATGGTTATGAGGAGAACACAGAGGAGGAAGAGGAAGAGGCAGGGGATGGGGAAGAGGTGGAGGAAGAGGAGGAGGATGATGAAGAGGAGGAGGAGGAGGATGGGGAAGAGGTGGTGGAGAGTGGACAAACGAGATGGTCCAGAGATCGTGGTACAAGCTCAGGGAAAGGGACTGGGGTCAAATCTGGGGAAGGGAGAGCAGGGACAAAATCTGAGAATAAGCCTTCGTACAGGTGCGACAGTGGACGGGGAAAGGTCGATGGAAGAAACAGTGGGAGTGAGGGCGAGGAGGAGCAAGGGGGGAGGAACTTTACTTATGAGAAGGAGCGTTCGCGAGGAAAGGGGAGAGGAGGGAGGGGGTGGGAAGGAGGCAGTGGTGGTTATGGGGAGAGGCAGCAGCAATGGCATGACAGTCAAGATCGGAATGAGGAGGAAGGGGAGGGCATGGAGGAGGAGGGAGAGGGGGAAGGGAGTGCTAACGAGGATAGTAAGGAGTGGAGTGAGTGTGAGGATAGTGAGGTGGAGAACGGGGATGGTGAAGGGAGTGGGGAAGTGGTGAGTGGAGATGAGGAGGAGAGTGCACAGCATGCAGTACGCAGAAAGAGCGGAGAGGAACACGAGGAACAGTACAGCCACAGAGGCGGGGACAGAGATGGGGACAGAGATGGGGACAGGAAGAAACCGTCGCAAAGGAGCAGTGGTCGGCAGCAGCAGAATGCATGGGGGCTTGCAGAGAGGCGTAACGGAGAAAAGGAAGGCATGCACAGCAGGTACAAAGGGGAGGGGGATGAAGTGTATAGAAGAAATGGGGAAGAAGTACCGATATATGGGAGTGATGTGTACGATAGGGGCTATGGAGGCATGAGGGGAGGTGAGGTGGAAGATGGGGGTGGATACAGAAAGGGCCGCTCTAGTAACGAGAAGTACACTCATCAGGAAGACGAGAGGGGTGCAGCGAGGAATAGTGGTGCACGCCACTCACGCACTTCCAGCTGCTTGGACCAGAAGAGTCAGGAGGGCAAGAGAAATGCAGCAAGGGGTGGTGGTAGTAATAGTGGTGCACGCCACTCGCGCACTTCCAGCTGCTTGGACCAGAAGAGTCAAGAGGGCGAGAGAAGTGCAGCAAGGGTTAGTGGTAGTGGTAGTGGTGCACGCCACTCCCGCACTTCCAGCTGGTTAGACCAGAAGAGCCACTCTCACCGGCCCGGTCGATAGTGGCAGCAGCAGCAGCAGCAGGAGTGATGCTTACCAGGAGGGCGACAGAAGTGCAGCAAGGGGTGGTGGTAGTGGTGGTGGTGCATGCCACCCTGGCACTTCCAGCTGGTTGGACCAGAAGAGCCGCTCTCACCAGCCTGGGCAATAGTGGGATGAGCAGGAGCAAAGCAGGGCCATCCACTAATCTTGTGCTCTCTCCGACCGTTAATAAAACCAATCTTTCCAGCAGCAGCTGCTTCTTGAGGCGTCCATGCCTCTCTCTCTCTGGGTACGTCACTTCTAACAAGCACACCTTGATTTATGCTATTGATGCTCCGTGGTGCACAAGCATGCTCCCAGCATCTTGCACGTGTTGTATGTATTGGTTATTGTAGGGATGTGGCATGACGGTGTCTATAAGGCAATCATTCCTGCCCCTGGCGCACTGTGCCATTACGGTGTACATATATCCATTTACGGTATGATTATACGGTAGCTTGGCTTCTGCTGTGCCTCCTGGTTTTGTAGGAACCCCGAACCTGCATTGGCAGAAATCAGATGTCATCGACTGTGCAGTGCAGTGCATCGCTAGCAAACGCATTATCTCTCTCAAAGTTTGATTCATTTGATGTTCTCAGCACCTGTACTACCTGGCCACGAGTCCCTTTCTGGATTTCTGAAGCTAGCAGATTTCAGAGACGTCACCTCTGGGTTCGTATCAATCAGCCACTGCCAGCCCAGTTTCAAGTGTCAGATGAGTGCACACTTGAAAGGATGGAGCGATGGCCACAACCACAAGCCACGAAGGCGCCGGTGGTGGTTGACTCAAGTTACCTTGATACACTGTACTGGTAAGATAACATGGTTGTTTTAAGTAATGTCATGTCACCACCATTTTTAGCCAGCCGTGAAGATGAACAGAGCCTTTCAAAATAACCCAGGACACAGCTTGCATAATGCAACCTGCAATGGTGAGCTCCAGAGAAGCAAGAAAGGTGTGTAAAAGCGAAGGACATGTTACAGTTACACCACCTGAGAATATGTAAATGAGACTTTCCTTCCTTCAAGGTTATCTACAAGAACCTGGGTAGAGCACCAGCAAGCCAGTATGGCCGTCATGCCTGGAGGCCTCCCATCAATGCTGCCACATTGTTAACCTCTGGCGCTGGAGATGCAATGTCTTCCATCCTGCAGAGGACCGGGTGAAATGACATTAGTATGGCAGATGCTGGTTCGTGAACGCATTAGAGATTGTGCTATGCATTGCAGAGGCGTTACCTTTGCTTGAGGAGCTGCTGTCTTGTCAGCACATTGGTCTGCTGTGTGTGATGACCCCATGGGTGATTGCAGTTGCACACCTGATGATTCACAAAAAGCAAGGCACGGAGGCAAAGGATCAAAGGATATAGGGCTATGTCGACGGTCAAATTGACTTGATTTGAGCAAGATTGCACTCGCTCTATCTCTCCCTCCCATGGCAATGCGCAGGATGGCACACTGGACACCTTCCTTCATGCATTGAAAATGTATGGTCAGCCATGCATGTCACACCTGGGTCCTGTGAGTAATCCTTCGCCACATTCCTCTACCGACCTACCCCAAGTCATGCATGCATGTGACCGTCATGCTTCATCTGCGCATGCAAGGTGCAAGCTCACTTACCCATGGGCTATCGAACTTGTCGCATGAGCATTTTGGTCGGATGCATTTGTGCGATGTCGGCTCGTGTTCCACATGCTTATGCTGCGTGATAGATCAACACAATGAAGGAAATAGAAAAAGGACGGAAAAATATAAACGAAGAATCTGGAAAAATCGCACGAGGAGCAACTCCACATAGCAAAGACATTTGATCAGGGTTTTGAGATTTCTTTCAGCAGCAGGTTTTCATGGTTAAAATGCAAAAGCTGGCTTCAGCAAGGCTAGGAAACGATTGCATCCGCCGTGAATGATTGAAAATGAATGCAGAAAGGAGTGAACAATGCATCTGCAGTAAACAAATTCCGAGACAAATTAAAAGGCATAACACACGAACGTACAGATGCGTAAATACATGAACGCATGAACGATGACAGGCGCGTACCTTGCATCTGCAACGAAGGATCCAGACGCCTTGAGCAGGAATGAAGAAGAAACTCTCGCACGCACATTTGGCTCGTCCGCAGACCAGCTGAAATTCACCACAATGCGACGAAGGCGACGAGGAGGAAGAGGAGCCTGAATGCGAATCGCTGGGCGGTCCTGCCAGGGAGTCCGAATCTTGCAATTCCGGGTTCTCAGACAGCCGTGAGTCGGTCAAATTTTCCGCAGCTATTGTTTCAGAAGTGCTTTGTTGAGTAGTAGGCGGTTCAAGACGATGCTCTCGAAGCCTGTGACCGCAGATACATTGGGATTCGTCTCGAACTGGCAGACAGCTGCGGTCGCAATCTGAGGTTGACAATAAGGAATGGTGGGAAACCAGTAAAGTCCGGAAGGAGTCACATGATGGTGGTTAGTGGCCACGCTGACTTAAAATCACATCTGCTAAAAACGAAAAGAACAAAAAATGAAATAACTTCAGAAACGAAGTGAAGCCACGATAAGCTCTAGATGTCGAAGGCATACCACGGCAAGTCCAGGTGACCTTGGCCTTGAGATCGGCAGAAGAGTCCTTGCCATCCTTGCTAAAGGATTCCACGTCAACAGGCTGCTTTTTAGATTCTACATGACATTCAACATCACCAGCCTCAGTCTCTACTGGTCCGGCTAAGTCGTGAGCTTGATCAATCGTGACCATGACGCTGATCAAGTTAAGCAACGGAAATTCAGCACGTTGTGCTTGGCGACGTCTCGGCTTACCGTGCCGAATCGTGGTATTGAAACCAACTTTCAGTGGTTGTTGCAGGAATGCGAATGGGAGCAGGACTTTCCGCTTCGTGTGCTGAACACTGTGGCGGTGTTCGCCAGCACATCTAAAAAAAGAAAGGCCACGGAATGGCCGTGGAATCACGAACCAGAGGAGGAACCTCCCGAATAGGTGTGGGGGGAATGGCCAAATCGCGAAATTTCGCGCCAGAAAGGGGAAGTGTGGCAACGGGATCAGGAACCACCCTCCCCACCTTCCAATTCCCCGTTCCCCCCCTCCACATCCTTCCAAACCCATGGCCATCCCAAGGCAATTCTGCTTGGGGGGGTGAATGGCGATGGAATGGCAACGGGACCAACGTTTGCCTGTAGAGGAAGCTCCCGACCCACTTTCCTACCTTCACGATTCCATTCGAAATGAATGAAAAGGAGGGCGTTCGACAGGACAATATGATTCCGTTTGGTTCGGACGGAATCACAGGCTCGGCAAGAATTTCGCGGGCTGACCTGCTTGACGGACCCTAACGAACCCTAACGGACGGGATCAGGAAGCCGAGAATGACCTTCCTGATCCCGTCATTTTTCTTGTTAAAAGTGCTGGCGAACAACGCCTGTGTAAGGAAATTCCTCGAGATCTCCGATGCAGTCAGAGGTGGAAGGATTTGGGAGTTGGCCTCACAGTCAACTGACATCCAATGTCGCGGTTTGTCAGAAGCTCTTATGGCGGATCTGGTTAGAGAATATCACAGATGTTACGTGAAAATAGATGATCATATTCCAAACGATCTATAGCACTAACTTCGAAACTGGACAAAACCACAATAACTCAAAGGCCCGTCCGTGCTGGAATTTGTTACTTCGCGATTAATGTCTGGAAAAAAATGCTACAGACCTACCTTCTATACCCAGACCCATCCCTTGAGACTCGGTCACCATACCCACGAGGACTAGGCTCATGACGACCACCAGCACCGCCCCCCCTCCAATCCGCCCCTGCAGCACCACCAGACCTCCAATCCCCCCCACCAGCAGCACCACCCCCCCTCCAATCCCCACCACCAGCACCAACTCCTGACATCCATCGATCACCATCATCAATCACCCTAACTGCAACAGCACCACCACCAGCTGACACCATGCCACCTAACGATCCCATCGCACCAACCGGACCACCAGCACCAGCAACACCGCCAAAACCACCAGCACCACCAGCACCACCAGCAGCACCAGCAACACCACCAAAGCCACCAGCACCAGCACCAGCGGTATCAGCTGCGTTTTTCTCAGCATTTTCCAGCTCCCGTACAGCCGCTCTCCCTGCTTGCTCCAGCAGCCTTACGGCACACCCCACCACTCGCCTCTCATTGGCCGGCCGCGGCCCTCCCGCCACCCACCTCCCCAGAATCGAATCCAGCACCGCCCGCAGCTGCACCAGCAGCTCTCCCATATGCCGATCCACCACAAACTCGATCCAACGGTCCACAACGAGCAGAACCGGCTGAGACGCCAGCGAGGAGGACCCAAACCCATAGGCGCCAGCAGCAGCAGCACCGTATGGATTCCCAGAGGGAAAAGCCCCTCCCAGGGGTAGAAACGGAGATGGGGCAGGGGCAAGCTGGATAGGACCTCCAAAGAGGACGATAGAGAGAGCAGGGATGAGCGTGCAGCCACGAATAAACACCTGAGAGGTCTGCACACGCTCGTTAAACGTCAGAAAATGCACTCCCCCATCGTCCAACGCCTTGCCCTGCTGCGGGATCACCCCAGTCGGGTGGATCCACACCCGACCCTCGGAGGTTCGGAACCCGAACCTCAGCCGGACCTTCTGCTTCCCGCCGCTGCTGCTGCCGGAACCGGCGCCGCCCCGGGCTTCCGGGAGCATGTCCGAGCGGGCTACATGGGGAGACAGACCCGCAACCAGCACTGAGCGAGCGATAAAGAGCGATGACTCGTCGGTGTCATCGATGTGCGGTTCAGATGCAGCAGCATTGGCTCTGTCGGGACCCGGCGGGTAATCTCGGCCGTCCATCTGCTCGTCCATTCGCTCATCTGCCACTCGCACATCCCATTTTGACCTGTGCCGCCAACCCTCACTCTCCCGCTCCCCCTCCCTCTCCCTCTCCCTCTCCTTCTCCCTTTCGCGATCCCGATCCCTATCCCTGTCGCTGTCCCTTCCCCTATCCCTGTCTCTGTCTCTCTCCATGTCCCTTACCCCATCCCTGTCTCTATCTCTATCCCGCTCTCTCTCCCTGTCCCTATCTCTCACGCTGTCCCTATCCCTGTCCCTGTCCCTATCTCTCTCCCTGTCTCTCTCCCTCTCCCTGTCCCGATCCGAGCCTCTGTCCTCCTTGTCCCTCCAGCTCTCTCTGCTACCAGCAGCAGCACCCCTGGAATCACTCAGTTGTGTGGAGCCGGTGCGAGCATCGATGCGAGTCACGTGGCGGATATCAGGCCTACCACTCAGTGAAGATACCCCACCACCGACACCACCACCAGCACCGTCATCACCATCACCACCACCACCACTGCCAGACCTCCCTTCCACCCCTCGTCCTCCTCCAACCCCTGTCTCCTTCCTCTGCCCCACCATCCCCCTTGCACCAGCTCCCTGCGCCTGAGCCTGAGCCTTAGGCGGCAGATCAGCATCAAGAGACTCTCCTAATTGGGCCAGCCCAGCCCCCCACAACATCCTCTCAATCTGCATTTTCAGCCCCAGCATAAGCCGCATCCCGGACGGCGCTAAGAAATTCTCATCACAATACCCCATCGCCCGCCCCTCTGCGTTTGCTCTCATCCACCCCTCATGCGCCATCACCACAGCTAGATGATCGCTCCCGGCCGCCGAGCCTGTCGCGAAGGCTCGGCGCGCAGCGTCGGCGGCGTTGCGGTTGGTAATGGGGGAGAGGAACGGGTCGCGAGAGAGGGAAGCAGCCGCAGCGACGGAGAGGAGGGGAGAGAGGCAGTGCAGCAGGGACCCATACACCAACATCTTGCCGATCCGAGGGTGCACAGCGAGCCGGCTGAGGGTCGATCCAAGGGCTGTGAGCTCTTCATCTTCATCCAGCGCGCCGAGCCTCTGGAGATTCTCGATGGCGTGGCGAACAGCAAAAGGGTCCGGGGGAGAGAGGGCCTTTGCAAGAAAGAGACCGATGTTGGTGCTGCGATGGGCGGTGGTGGAGGAGGGGTAGGAGGAAGAGGGGTGGGCAGTGACGGCGGCTGCGAGAGGGAGGGGTTTGATCTGCAGGCAGATTTCCTCCAGAGGGACGCGTTGCATCTCAGGGACAGAGTTGGGCGCCATGGCCTCATACACCTGCGATTGGGGTAGAAATCCATGGGATCGATGCAGTACATGAATGGACAGCCTTCGAGGCAAGTAGTGATAGAGAGTGCTTGGAAGCAGAACATTCTTGGAAGCAGAGAAGGCTTGGAAGCAGGAGGTGGTCTCACTGTGCGAGTGAAGAGGCGGAAGCATCTCCCGGGCCGAACGCGACCAGCTCGAGTTTTTAGACGTCTCAAAACAAACATACCGAGCGAGTGAAGAGGCGGAAGCATCTCCCGGGGCGAACACGACCAGCTCGAGTTTTTAGACGTCTCAAAACAAACATACCGAGCGAGTGAAGAGGCGGAAGCATCTCCCGGGGCGAACGCGACCAGCTCTGCCCTGCCTCTGCTTCACACTCGCCTTGGACGCCCACTGTAGGCCGGGGGAGGACACAGGCGGCACGAAACAGGCGGGACAAACAATGGTGAAATTTATATTTACCCTTGGCTTCAGACAACCACTCCAGGACAAGACAAACAAGCAGAGGGAGAGCTGCATGGGAGATTCTTCATAGAGAGATCACCTGCACGCACATGGAGGAGATGTTCCTGGCGGGCTCGAAGTACTTTTCCTTGGACTTGCCTCATGTGGGCAAGTGCTCGCCCTACCTGCAAGAATTGTGAGTACTGCCCTGCGCACTGCAGGCCCTGCCATTGCCGCCTCACCTGCACGCGCATGGAGGAGATGTTCCTTGCGGGCTCGAAGTACTTCTCCTTGGACTTGCCGCCATCCACCACAAACACCACGTCGTCTATCGTCACACTCGTCTCCGCTATGTTGGTCGATAGAATCACCTGCAGAGGAGGAGGAGGAGGAGGAGGAGGAGGAGGAGGAGGAGGAGGAGGAGGAGGAGGAGGAGGAGGAGGAGGAGGAGGAGGAGGAGGAGGAGGAGGAGGAGGAGGGGGAGGAGGAGGAGGAGGAGGAGGAGGAGGAGGAGGAGGAGGAGGAGGAGGAGGAGGAGGAGGAGGAGGAGGAGGAGGAGGAGGAGGAGGAGGGGGGGAGGAGGAGGAGGAGGAGGAGGAGGAGGAGGAGGAGGGAGGAGGAGGAGGAGGAGGAGGAGGAGGAGGAGGAGGAGGAGGAGGAGGAGGAGGGGGGGGAGGAGGAGGAGGAGGAGGAGGAGGAGGAGGAGGAGGAGGAGGAGGAGGAGGAGGAGGAGGAGGAGGAGGAGGAGGAGGAGGAGGAGGAGGAGGGGGGAGGGGGGGGGAGGAGGAGGAGGAGGAGGAGGAGGAGGAGGAGGAGGAGGAGGAGGAGGAGGAGGAGGAGGAGGAGGAGGAGGGAGCAGGAGGAGAGACGCAGAGATTTCAAGGTGGAGAGACTGAGAGATGAAGGGATGGAACATTTGATCGAACGAAAATACAAAGGTTACCAGCTGGACAACTCTTTACTGCCATCACTATCCCTTCCACCACTATCACCGTCCGTCACATTCAACATCACGCTTTGCTGCTGTCATGCCTATCTCACCTTGCGCTTCCCCTCTGGAGGGCGGTCAAAGGCTGCTCTCTGCTCCGCTGGTGGCACCTGCATGGCGTTCAAAGGCATTCAGAGGGGTTCAGAGGTATTCCAAGCTTCTCAAGATGGGCACAAAAAAACCTTAACAAAAAATGAAGGCAAAATGAGCTGCTGACACATGAGCTTGGTGGCACATGAGCTAGGTGGCACATGAGCTAGGTGGCACACGAGCTAGGTGGCACACGAGCTAGGTGGCACACGAGCTAGGTGGCACACGAGCTAGGTGGCACACGAGCTAGGTGGCACACGAGCTAGGTGGCACACGAGCTAGGTGGCACACGAGCTAGGTGGCACACGAGCTAGGTGGCACACGAGCTAGGTCGCACACGAGCTAGGTGGCACACGATAGACAGGGACGCCAGGGCCCATGAAGGTGGAAAGGCACGGTGTGACTCACCTGGGAGTGCAGCATCACGATGTGGAAGCGGTACGATCCCGGAAGGAACTGCAGCTGGCGCTTGGCTTCGGCTATCGTGTCCCACCCCTGCACACGCGGACAGAAGTCACATTGTGCCATGGCATGGCGAGGCAAGATGAGACGTGCACATGATATCGCTGTAGTCGCCAGTCGCTTTCGCTTTGGCAGACTGGCCAGTGTGGACTCTCATGCCCCGCCTTATCCACCCGCAGCACCAAGAAACATTCCCACCAAAGAGACGGCTCTTTGGTCTACCGACTCAGGTCCCTCGGGATTACTCAGCGACAGGAAGCAGAGGATCGACCCATCCTCCCTCTCATACTCATCATCCACCCACACCACACCACCCATGCTATCAGGGAACTTATGCATTAGGGATGCTTCACTTTTGAAATGAAGCTCTCCCAGACAGCAAGCCTCTCAGAAAGCAACATTACTCACGGGCAGGAAGCAGAGAATCGACCCGTCCTCCCTCGCACACTCATCATCCACCCACGCCACCAGGGAGGGAGGAAGAGGAAAGCACTATCACATACATCAAGGAACGAAAGGCAACATTACTCACAGGCAGGAAGCAGAGAATCGACCCATCTTCCCTTGCATACTCATCATCCACCCACGCCACGACCCTCGCTGCCAGCTCAGCATCGAGCTCGTCCTCGTCAGCGCACCCGTACTTGGGGTGCAGCGCTTGGCGCAGCACTGATGGCACGTGGCGGCCCATGAGGGAAGGGAGGTCGTCCAGAGAGTAGACTGAGACCGGGTGGATGAACCCGGGGATGGCGAGCATGGGGCAGTGGTGGCAGTAGCTGGGTGGGGAGGGGGGGGGAGGGCGCGGGAAGGAACAGGGGAGGCACAACGAAGGAAAAGGAAATGGGTTAGGAACAAGCAAGAAGGGTTAAGAGGAGTGGAAGGGAGGAGAAGGAGGTTGATTGGCCATGAGGGATGGTAGATCGTCCAGAGAATAGACCGAGCATGGGGCAGTGGTGGAAGTAGCTGGGTGGGGAGGGGGGGGGAGGGCGCGGGAAGGAACAGGGGAGGCACAACGAAGGAAAAGGAAATGGGTTAGGAACAAGCAAGAAGGGTTAAGAGGAGTGGAAGGGAGGAGAAGGAGGTTGATTGGCCATGAGGGATGGTAGATCGTCCAGAGAATAGACCGAGCATGGGGCAGTGGTGGAAGTAGCTGGGTGGGGAGGGGGGGGGGAGGGCGCGGGAAGGAACAGGGGAGGCACAACGAAGGAAAAGGAAATGGGTTAGGAACAAGCAAGAAGGGTTAAGAGGAGTGGAAGGGAGGAGAAGGAGGTTGATTGGCCATGAGGGATGGTAGATCGTCCAGAGAATAGACCGAGCATGGGGCAGTGGTGGAAGTAGCTGGGTGGGGAGGGGGGGGGAGGGCGCGGGAAGGAACAGGGGAGGCACAACGAAGGAAAAGGAAATGGGTTAGGAACAAGCAAGAAGGGTTAAGAGGAGTGGAAGGGAGGAGAAGGAGGTTGATTGGCCATGAGGGATGGTAGATCGTCCAGAGAATAGACCGAGCATGGGGCAGTGGTGGAAGTAGCTGGGTGGGGAGGGGGGGGGAGGGCGCGGGAAGGAACAGGGGAGGCACAACGAAGGAAAAGGAAATGGGTTAGGAACAAGCAAGAAGGGTTAAGAGGAGTGGAAGGGAGGAGAAGGAGGTTGATTGGCCATGAGGGATGGTAGATCGTCCAGAGAATAGACCGAGCATGGGGCAGTGGTGGAAGTAGCTGGGTGGGGAGGGGGGGGGAGGGCGCGGGAAGGAACAGGGGAGGCACAACGAAGGAAAAGGAAATGGGTTAGGAACAAGCAAGAAGGGTTAAGAGGAGTGGAAGGGAGGAGAAGGAGGTTGATTGGCCATGAGGGATGGTAGATCGTCCAGAGAATAGACCGAGCATGGGGCAGTGGTGGAAGTAGCTGGGTGGGGAGGGGGGGGGAGGGCGCGGGAAGGAACAGGGGAGGCACAACGAAGGAAAAGGAAATGGGTTAGGAACAAGCAAGAAGGGTTAAGAGGAGTGGAAGGGAGGAGAAGGAGGTTGATTGGCCATGAGGGATGGTAGATCGTCCAGAGAATAGACCGAGCATGGGGCAGTGGTGGAAGTAGCTGGGTGGGGAGGGGGGGGGAGGGCGCGGGAAGGAACAGGGGAGGCACAACGAAGGAAAAGGAAATGGGTTAGGAACAAGCAAGAAGGGTTAAGAGGAGTGGAAGGGAGGAGAAGGAGGTTGATTGGCCATGAGGGATGGTAGATCGTCCAGAGAATAGACCGAGCATGGGGCAGTGGTGGAAGTAGCTGGGTGGGGAGGGGGGGGGAGGGCGCGGGAAGGAACAGGGGAGGCACAACGAAGGAAAAGGAAATGGGTTAGGAACAAGCAAGAAGGGTTAAGAGGAGTGGAAGGGAGGAGAAGGAGGTTGATTGGCCATGAGGGATGGTAGATCGTCCAGAGAATAGACCGAGCATGGGGCAGTGGTGGAAGTAGCTGGGTGGGGAGGGGGGGGGGAGGGCGCGGGAAGGAACAGGGGAGGCACAACGAAGGAAAAGGAAATGGGTTAGGAACAAGCAAGAAGGGTTAAGAGGAGTGGAAGGGAGGAGAAGGAGGTTGATTGGCCATGAGGGATGGTAGATCGTCCAGAGAATAGACCGAGCATGGGGCAGTGGTGGAAGTAGCTGGGTGGGGAGGGGGGGGGAGGGCGCGGGAAGGAACAGGGGAGGCACAACGAAGGAAAAGGAAATGGGTTAGGAACAAGCAAGAAGGGTTAAGAGGAGTGGAAGGGAGGAGAAGGAGGTTGATTGGCCATGAGGGATGGTAGATCGTCCAGAGAATAGACCGAGCATGGGGCAGTGGTGGAAGTAGCTGGGTGGGGAGGGGGGGGGAGGGCGCGGGAAGGAACAGGGGAGGCACAACGAAGGAAAAGGAAATGGGTTAGGAACAAGCAAGAAGGGTTAAGAGGAGTGGAAGGGAGGAGAAGGAGGTTGATTGGCCATGAGGGATGGTAGATCGTCCAGAGAATAGACCGAGCATGGGGCAGTGGTGGAAGTAGCTGGGTGGGGAGGGGGGGGGAGGGCGCGGGAAGGAACAGGGGAGGCACAACGAAGGAAAAGGAAATGGGTTAGGAACAAGCAAGAAGGGTTAAGAGGAGTGGAAGGGAGGAGAAGGAGGTTGATTGGCCATGAGGGATGGTAGATCGTCCAGAGAATAGACCGAGCATGGGGCAGTGGTGGAAGTAGCTGGGTGGGGAGGGGGGGGGAGGGCGCGGGAAGGAACAGGGGAGGCACAACGAAGGAAAAGGAAATGGGTTAGGAACAAGCAAGAAGGGTTAAGAGGAGTGGAAGGGAGGAGAAGGAGGTTGATTGGCCATGAGGGATGGTAGATCGTCCAGAGAATAGACCGAGCATGGGGCAGTGGTGGAAGTAGCTGGGTGGGGAGGGGGGGGGAGGGCGCGGGAAGGAACAGGGGAGGCACAACGAAGGAAAAGGAAATGGGTTAGGAACAAGCAAGAAGGGTTAAGAGGAGTGGAAGGGAGGAGAAGGAGGTTGATTGGCCATGAGGGATGGTAGATCGTCCAGAGAATAGACCGAGCATGGGGCAGTGGTGGAAGTAGCTGGGTGGGGAGGGGGGGGGAGGGCGCGGGAAGGAACAGGGGAGGCACAACGAAGGAAAAGGAAATGGGTTAGGAACAAGCAAGAAGGGTTAAGAGGAGTGGAAGGGAGGAGAAGGAGGTTGATTGGCCATGAGGGATGGTAGATCGTCCAGAGAATAGACCGAGCATGGGGCAGTGGTGGAAGTAGCTGGGGTTGGGGAGAATGGGGGAGAGGGGGGAGAGGAGATGGGGAAACAGCGAAGGGGAAGGGGAGGGGAAGGGGAGGGGAAAGAAAGGGGTTGAAAATGTGCAGGAGGGGTTCGGAGGAGTGGACGGATAAGGCAGAGGGAGCATGGCGGGACGGGCCATGAAGGGGAGTGCGTGGCGCAGCAGGTAGGGCACGTGGCGGCCCATGATGGGATGGTAGATTGGTGAGGGAGTGGACTGAGACGGGTTGAATGAAGCCAGGGATGGCGAGCATAGGGCAGTGGTGGAAGTAGCTGGGTGGGGAGTGGGGCAACGGCGAAGGGGGAGGGAAGGGGGAAACGAGACAGAAAGAGGGGAAGAGGAGGGCGTTGTGGTTTTACGCGCAGGACAATCGAATGGGAGGAGACGACGAGGTGAGAGAGGAGAGGCACAAGCAAGTGGGAGTCAGTGCATATCGAGCTTGAGAAGCATGGAGGAGGGACCGCAAAGAGAACAACAAGAGAGGACAGGGGAGCCGACCAACTGGAGAGGGAACGAAGGGGGCACGATGAGATAAGGGTGACATCGTACAGGTTATAGAGGGAAGGGTGGATGCAACTCCACAAAGACAACCATGATGACTACAAGAAAAACAACCGCGATGGGAACGATGCAGCATACTGCCATGCCACCAGGTTTTGAGGCGCAGCACAAGAGACACGTTATGCCGTACCACCAGCTCGCTCACTCGTCTCGACCGACCCCGATCGGCCGGTTTACGGAGACCGGACAGACGTTGCAGCAGCCACCTCCTTCCTCTCATCCTTCTCCTTGGCTTGTGAGGCTCAGCAGCAGCAGCAGCAGGTAGTATCGGCAGCAGCAAGGAGCAGCAAAAGCTGTTCACCAGTAAAGAAACAGCAATGGCAACCCCGGCTGCCACTGCCACTGCCACTGCTGCTGAGCCTCTCACTGGCAGGCCCGCTGGGAGCAGATGAGAGGAAGGAGGCTGCTGCCGACACGATCGAAATCGAGAAAGGACGAGTGAGCGAGCTGGTGTCACGCAGGGGGGGAGGAAAAGGGGGGGTAGGAGAAAGCTTACGAAGCTGACTGGAGCAAGCAAAACTGTAGTATGTTTAAGGAGGAAGCAGCGAGGGAGGGAAGTGGACAACCAAGGAAGAACCCTCCTTGAAGCAGCACACATGGCTTCCAAGTTTGACCCATTTGGCATCAATTACCCCATTTCTCCACTCCAATTCCCCTTCTTGCCCAGCCCTCGTCTGTGCATACGCCTTGGCTCTTAATTATTTCAAACTGTGGAGACTGGGAGAGTGCGAAAATGTGATTCAAGTACATATTGGTGGAGCGTAGGAGAGTGCTTGGTACAGAATTACCACGGTTGACAGTGACGATGATGACGATCACATGAATGCTGTGGTGTGCGGTTTTGAGGCCCCTAAGTTTTGAGGCGCCTCAAAACTTGACGATAATGACGATCACATGAATGCGGTGGTGTGCGGCGGGGAGGCATGCTCTTGGCTTCGAGGTGTCCTAGGTTTTGCCCTTCTCCACTTTCCTCAATTTCAACCACCAACTCAACCTTCACCAGACTGTCCTCCACTCATGATGTGCACTCTCCCTGGCTTGTCATATCCCATCAGCCTGCTGCATGTTGGCTCGCCACCAACTCATAAACGCCTATTGTGTGCACTCGTTTTGACTTGGTGTGTATTGGCGACACGGACTTGGCTTGGCCTAATGTGCTTCGCTGATACCTGGTGACACACGATTGACCAATGATAGGCGGCCAAACGGGTCATGCAGTGCAGTACCCTGCCTGCGATGCGATTACCAGACTTAGGGCTATGCCCTCTCGCATTGAGTTGAATTTTGAGGCGCCTCATAATTCGACTACCAGATTCAGGGCTATGCCCTCTCATTTTTTATAACGCGCCTTCCCCTGCCCTGCATGGGTACAGTGAATCGTTCTGGGTAGACACCAAAATAGATTGTGCATTTGCAGCATCTGAACATGCCTACGTGCATGCGTACACAATTAGCAAGTCATGTCACATCCACATGCATATTGCTAGCAGGTAGCATCACGTACCTCAAGCTCGCTCTCGCTGACCTAACAATGGCAGGGGTGACCGGCGAAGAGAGAGGGCAATGACAACTCACGAGGTGAAGAGATGAGCATAGCTGGTGGCGCTCATGATGACCACACCACATGGATACGGGAGTGCACGGCGGGGGTTGAAAGCATCCGCTAAGCTCTCTCCACCCTTACACAATGGCAACTTGCGAAGAAAAGAGGCAATGGAAACTCACGAGGTGAAGAGATCGGCATCGATGGTGGCGCTCATAATGACCACGCGGATACGGGAGGGCACGGTGGGGGAGGAGAGCATCTGTTTGAGCACAATGAGGAGGAAGTCGGTGTCCATGTCCCTCTCATGCACCTCGTCCACTATCACATGGCTCACCCCCTCCATGCCCTCTCGGCTCTGAGATTTGGTTTTTATCGAGAGGGTGGGAGAGCGGGTGGGGGATAGGAGGAGGGGTGGAAACAAAGGAAACAGAAACAGTGGATGGGGCATGAAAGGGAAATAAGGTGCAGTGGGTAGGTAGTGCGCAGTATTGTGCATGCAAAATGTATATCACATCGCTCATGCACCGTACTCAAGGTAACAGCAACCGGTAGAGCACAAAAAGCACCCACATGCAAGCATTACCTGCCAACGGAGCAGAAGGGGATGCTGCCTCCGGCTCTAGCTAGAAAGCACAGACCATACCCTTACTGTTGACGAATGTTCAACCAGCACAGCACAGCCAGCCGCCCCCCCACACACACCTGCATGCGCCGCAGCAGGATGCCAACAGTGCAGAAGAGGATGCTGCCTCTGGCTCTGGGCGGGTTGCTGTCCAGCCGAATGCGGTACCCCACACTGTCCCCCAATGCTTCACCCCTCTCCCATGCCACACGCTCTGCCACACTGTTGGTTTGGGGTGGGGTGGGGACAGGAGAATGAGCGAAAACGAGAGCTGCTGTCCAGCCGAATGCAGTACCCCACACTGTCCCCCAACGCCTCGCCCCTCTCCCATGCCACTCGCTCTGCCACGCTGTTGCGAGGGGGAAAGGAAATGAGGGGAAGTATGAGCGCAGCGAGAAATTCAGAGCCAGGCAGATCAACAACGATGATTATGAAAGGTGTGGACTGGAATCATCACACGCAAAGAATGGAGAGCACGTCAAGGCACGTCAAAGCCATTGGATAACAAACAGCAAGTGGAGAACTTAAGGCCAAGGAGCATAGTATCTCAGAGGTGCAATGGGGAGTAAAGTGGAGTGGAGTGAAGGCGGAGGAGCGTACCTCAATGCTGCAATTCTGCGAGGCTGAGTGACTATAATGTGCGTGCTGCTAGCTGTGCCATTGCGCTCCGAATCTTCAAGGATGAACTGAGGGACCTGCCAGCCAGCATCCAGGGAGAGCGAAACATCAGGTGAATTGCATAGCCTTCGGGTGGACTGCACCCATGGCATGGCGAGCCAAGACATGACAAGCATCTGGCCAGACAGGCCAGGGCTCGCCCATTCGAAACACGGACCCGGCTGACCTTCTCACATGCCTCAGACTGAGTTGACTTTTCAGTCGACTCTTTTGAGTCGACTCAAGAGTCAACTAGGCCAGACGGGCCAGGGCCGCCGTTCGTAACACGGACCCAGCTGACCTTCTCACATGCCTCTGACTGACCCGTGACGCGCCAGCCCAAGGCCAGACTGGACGCATTTGTACAGGGTTGCACCGAGCCTCAAATGCTAGCCAGCAGCAGAGCACAGGGTGGAGGTCACCTATCCCCCTACCTGGGTGGTTTTCCCGCAGCCAGTCTCTCCAATGATGAGCGACACTGGGTTTGCCTGCACCATGCGCACCACTTCATCCCTCTCCTTCCACGCAGGCAGCCTCTCCCTCCCAACCTTTTGAGTCGACTCAGAGGTCACCTATCAGGCTATCCCCCTACCTGGGTGGTCTTGCCACAGCCAGTCTCTCCAACGATGAGCGATACAGGGTTTGCATGCACCATGCGCACCACTGCATCCCTCTCCTTCCACGCTGGCAGCCTCTCCCTCGCTCTCCACCTGTCCTCCATCTCCCTTGCCGTGCTCCTCCTCTCAGCAGCCAATCTGAACCGTTCATCCAGGTAAGGATCCCTCGTGTACGGTCCAGATACATCCATTGCTGCTGCTGCCGCCGCCGCCGCTGCTGCTGCTGCTCCCCCTGCTCCTGCTGCTGCTTTAGAGGCAGAACCAGAGGGGTAAGGGAGCGAGGAGGAGGAGGAGGAAGGGAGAGTGCCTGTGGAGTGAGGGCGGGGAAGCAAGCCATTGCCTTGGGTGGTGGAGTCGGGAGGGTGGGAGGGGAGAGGAGGCGAGTGCGAGGGGGGAGGGAGAGACGGTGGCTTGGGCAGGCTGGAGTGGAACTCGGAGAGCACGTCCTCTAGAAGGGTGATGTCGGCTGGATTGAGGGAGAGGCGCGGGGTCTGGTTGGGTGGGAGGGAGAGGGAAAAGGGCAACGAGATATTGTTTAGCACCTCAAGGGCAGGCTGGAGTGGAACTCGGAGAGCACATGCTCTAGAAGGGTGATGTCGGATGGGTCGAGTTGACTTTTGAGTCGACTCAAAAGTCAACTCTAGAAGGGTGATGTCGGATGGGTCGAGGGTGAGGCGAGGGGTCGAGGGTGAGGGGTCTGCATGGGTGGGAGTGGGAGAAAGAAAGCGCGAGTACAGGGGAATGGGGGAATGATGGAGTGACTTTTGAGAATTCTCAAAGGTAAAAGGGGAATATCCGGAGGGCACCTCAAGGGCAGGCTGGAGTGGAATTCGGTGAGCACGTCCTCTAGAAGGGTGATGTCCGGGGGACTGAGGGAGAGGCGGGGGGTCTGCAGGGGTAGGTGGGAGGGAAGAAGCAAGGAGAACAGAAAAGCGAGGGAAGAAGAGGAAGGTGCTTTTAGTAGCCCCAGCCCAGCTCGTGCAGGCGCTCACACGCCGCCACACACACATGCACGCATTGCCTGATCACACGCACCTGTCCCTGAGCACACATGGGACACATTGCCTGAGCACCTGTCCCTGATCCTTCCTTCGCCAGCAAGCCTCCACCACTGCTCTGCCCTCGCAGGCTGGTGAGCGACGAGGAGGAAGGTGCTTTGAGAAGCCCCAGCTCGTGCAGGCGCTCACATGCCGCCACGCACCAGTAACATTGGGGTCCACTAAAGAACGTATCATGCACCGCACTGCACCGCACGGCACTGCACGCACCTGTCCCTGATCCTTGGCCAGCATGCCAGCACTGCCACCACTCTGTCCCATGGCAGCAAGGTTGGAGGAGGAAGGTGCCTTGAGCAGCCCCAGCTCGTGCAGGCGCTCACAGGCAGCCACAAACACAACACATGCACACACGGCACTGCACGCACCTGTCCCTGATCCTTAAAAGAGATGTTTTGAGACGTCTCAAAACATCTCTTTTATCAAACACAACACATCCACACACGGCACTGCACGCACCTGTCCATGATCCTTGGCCAGCATGCCTCCAACACCGCTCTGCCCTCCCATGGCAGCAAGGTTGGACGAGGAAGGTGCCTTTAGCAGCCCCAGCTCGTGCAGGCGCTCACAGGCCGCCACGCACCAGCTCCTCTCCGCGTCCGCCTTGTTGCGCCCCCTCCCCCTTGTGCAAACACTCACATGCCGCCACACAGACAACACATGCATGCATCAAATCGCACGCACCTGTCCCTGATCCTTGGCCAGCATGCCAGCACTGCCACCACTCTGTCCCATGGCAGCAAGGTTGGAGGAGGAAGGTGCCTTGAGCAGCCCCAGCTCGTGCAGGCGCTCACACGCCGCCACACAGCAGCTCCTCTCCGCGTCTGCCTTGTTCCGCCCCCTCCCCCTCGCCACCCACACCTGCGCTCCGGCCCCCCTCCCCAACGGCACATCCAGCTCCGCATAGAACACCTGGGGACGGAGGAGGGGAGGGGGGTGGAAGAAGTGAAATAACGGAAGTTTTAAAAAAAGGATTGAAGGGACGGGGAACTGTGGGTCTGCCCGCCCCACCTCCTCAGCAGAACATACAGCTCCGCATAGAACACCTGAGGAAGGGGGAGGGGAGGGGGGATTGGGGGGGAGAGGGGATGTACCACACTCCAGTCCCTCCCCAGCAGCACATCCAGCTCCGCATAGAACACCTGGGGAAGGAGGAGGGGAGGGGGGATGGGGGGTAGATGGAGGAGTAAGGGAGATAAAGATAGAAGATGCTTAAGGGAAGATTCAAGGGAGAGGGGGGGGGGCACTGACTGAACACCCACCGAATGATCAGTGCTGTGATGTGCTACCACAGAATGTGGACAGTCAACAGCGCACCTTGCCATGTTGGTGCCACTTTTGATCATTCTCAAAAGTAACACCAACATTGATGTGCCACCACAGAATGTGGACAGTCGACAGCGCACCTTGCCATGGTCAGGGCCTGCAGAGGAGATGCGGATGTTGAGCTTCCCTCCCTTGTTGACAATCCAATCCTTGAACACCGGACAGTGCTGCAGAATTTGGGTTCTTGAGCCAACTCCCTGGTGATTTGGGCCTTTCCCCGAACCCAGAAACCCAAGTCATCAGCGCAACCCAAGGCAACAGCGCACCTTGCCATGGTCAGGGCCTGCAGAGGAGATGCGGATGTTGAGCTTTCCTCCCTTGATGACGATCCAGTCCTTGAACTCCGGACAGTGCTGTGCTATGATGTGCTTCACAATGTGATTTCCAACCAACCAACCAACCAACCAACCAACCAACCAACCAACCAACCAACCAACCAACCAACCCACCTTGCCGTGGTCAGGGCCTGCAGAGGAAACCCGGATATTGAGCTTCCCTCCCTTGTTGACGATCCAGTCCTTGAACACCGGACAGTGCTGCAGAAAGTTCTTGGGGTTCTCCGCCCACACGGACGACAGCCCACCACTACTCCCTCCCCCTCCACCCCCTCCACCCCTTCCTCCCCCCTCTCCTCCCCTTCCACTTGATCCGGGTCCACTGCCTAAGATAGCAGCAAGATGAGGCGCTGCTTCTTCGGGCAACCGTAGCAGATCTAGGTCCTGGGGGAGGGGGAGAGGCGAGGGAGAGGGGTTAGCCACCAGAGGGACTATTTTTTAACATAGAAAACACTCTGCAACTTCAAGGAGGCGCCGCTTCTTCGGGCAACCGTAGCAGATCGAGGTCCTGGAGGAGGGGGAGAGGCGAGAGAGAGGAGTTAGCCACCAGGGTGTTTTTATTTTCATTAAAAAACACCCTGCAACTTCCAGGAGCAACTTAGAGGAGGCGCTGCTTCTTCAAGCAGCCGTAGCAGATCCAGGACCTGGGGGGTAGGGGGAGAAGAAGGGGAGAGAGATTAGCCAACCATAAAAAAAGCGGGACTGATCTGTGGCACCCTTTCATGCATGCCTGCATGTACATGTACATGTACATCGTATACACTGCTATCTCTGCACATAAGACCATTTGACACGTCTCAAAAAACTTATCTGTCATTGGCACCCATCTATGCTATGCTATGCATGCCTGCATGTATGTGTACATCGTAGACACTGCTATCTCTGCACATGAGACCCTGTGATGATAAGCGTGCAGATGAGCACATGCGTGTCGGCTGCACTGCACGCATGTTCGGAAGCAGGAACACAAGACATGAGCAGTCTGTTTTGATGCAATAATGTCGTCTTGTAAGTCTGTCTTTACATTAAAAAAAAAAAAAAAAAAAAAAAAAAAAAAAAAAAAAAAAAAAAAAAAAAAAAAACACACACATAAAAAAAAAAAAACATTAAAAAAGTAGCAATAACATCATTGATGTTAGTAGCTAAGTAGAACCACCTTGAGATGGAAGCAGGCTTCGATGGCGCACTGCCGCTCTGCCTCTTTCCTAGTCCTCGAGGATCCTCTAGCCGTGAAGCTTGTGAGATCCTGAGGGGTAAGGAAGGGGGTTTGGGAAAACGGGGTTTGACAACACATTAATCAAATCGTGTATTAAATTGGGGGAACTGGAACCGATCATGTGGAGAAGGTTCAAATGAAGTCATTTAGAAAAACGAACTTTTGCTGAGGCCATTTTTTTATGCTTCAGATTGTTACGCAATAGCAACGTCGTTCATCCTTGATGCCTCTCACGGCTTCCTTACATCGACGCGCACGCGAATCTGCACGGAGACGTCTCCTCCATACAACACAATAGCAACGCCTTTCATAACTCATCCTTGATGCCTCTCACGGCTTCCTTACATCGACGCGCACGCGAATCTGCACGGAGACGTCGCCGCCACGTGTCGTTACCGGAACGAGCTCGAATGGCAGGTTCTTATCCGTGTACCGGCTGTGAAACACGGGACTGGCAGCCAGGAGAATCTTAGGGTTTCCCTGAATCATCGCGTCCAGCTTTCCCGCACGTTTCCGCTTGGATCCTACATCGGCGCCAGCGGAAGGCCGGCCGAAGCGATCTGATGTGGAAAGCTGCGCGAAGGATCGCATCGTGCCTTGAATTTGAGAAGCGGGAGGAGGAGGACCTATTATCGAGGATGGCGTGTACGGGTAACCATATGGCTGCTGTCCTTGCTGTTGCTGCTGCTGCTGCTGATGCTGTAGCTGCTGAAGCTGAGTGTAGGGTATCGAAGCAGGTCCACTCCAGGGGTCCGTTTCCATGCTATACCGCCGGTTTCGCCTCGCTGAAAGCCAAACGATATTCGAATCCAAATTCACAGACACTGGTGGAAGTTCGCGGTTTTGTCAAACGAATGCGAGCGAGGTCATCATGGCTGAAACAAGCACTGTTGGAAAGCAACCCTGGTTGGGATCAGCTTCAGAACGTTGGCAAGATGAAAGAAGCTTGCTGTAATCCCGAGGCCAGAACCAAAACTGAAGGCAGGCAATGACGAGGCATTGTGCTTCTAGGACGTATTCTCTGGTCGGGTCATTTTCAAGGTTTAGTCTAGTAGCTGTACTAGAAATTTATGTATGATGTCACCATAGAAGCAAAACTTCCGTAGTAAAATTCGTGTTCTGACAGGCTGGACCTGACCCCACGGACACCAACTGTAACAAAACTTGTAGAGATTACGCCCTTACGATCTCATTCTCGTGAAGACGCCCCCCGTTCTTGTTGTGGGTTCTTGATTACCAAATAATCTCCAAGAACGTAGGATCTCGTCTGAAGCTTCTAGCCATGGCTTCTCTAGCAGAGTGGTGGCTGAACACCAACTGTCCTGTCGCCGGCCTCCCGTCACTGCGCGCCGTTGCGATCCTCTCAGCCTACGTCGCCTTTCTCATAGTAGCAGGCGCGATTCTTCCCGGAAAAGTGTTTCCTGGAACAGTTCTCGCTGACGGTACCCGCCTCCGTTACAAATGCAACGGCTTCCGCGTTCTCCTGCTCCTCCTCGCCCTCCTCGGCTACGGCGTCCAATCCGGACATCTCTCCGCGACCATCGTCGCCGATCTAGCTGGCGAACTTTTCGCGACGACTTTCGCCTTCACAGTACTCCTCTCCCTCGCACTCTACCTCGCGGGAGTCTTTTCAACCAACGCCAAATCTTCCTCCCTGAAACCTAAATTCCACGGCAACTTTATCAGCGATTTCATCTACGGCGTGCAGCTAAACCCGTCCGTGTTCGGGCTCGATCTCAAGTTCTTCTGCCTGCGACCCGCCATGATGGGATGGCTTCTGATCAACCTCTCCATCGCAGCGAAGCAGCATGAGCTTCTGCTGAAACTCCCCGACAACTCACACGCGATCACTCTCGCCTCGTTGAACCTCACCTCCATTCTTCCCGCCAGCGTCGCCAGCAGCAGCATCGCCACCCTCCCTATTATCACGCTTCCCATGTTCCTGTATCAGGTCTTCACCGCTATTTATGTCCTGGACTATTTCTGGTTCGAAGAGTACATGACGTCTACGTGGGACATTATTGCCGAGAATTTCGGCTTCATGCTGGTTTTCGGGGATTTGATCTGGATCCCTTTCACCTTCTCCGTCCAGGCATGGTGGCTGCTGGCCCACGGCACTGCTCGCGACAGTATCGCAGCGACCGTTTCTCTGCCCTTCGCTATTGTCACAGTCGCGGTTTTCGTTGTCGGCTACGCCGTGTTCCGCGGTGCCAACCGCCAGAAGCACATATTCAAGCACGACCCAACGGCTAAAATCTGGGGTAAAACACCCCGTGTTGTTGGCGGCAGGCTGCTGGTTTCGGGTTACTGGGGCATAGCTCGCCATTGCAACTACTTGGGAGATTTGATGCTGGCTCTTTCTTACAGCCTGCCATGTGCTTTCTACTCCCTCTGCCCGTACTTCTACCCTATCTATCTGCTCATCCTTCTGCTTTGGAGAGAGCGCCGGGATGAGGCTCGGTGCCGGGCCAAGTACACGGAGGTCTGGAAGGAGTATTGTAGGATAGTGCCTTGGCGCATTGTGCCCTTTGTCTACTAGGCGGGTTGGATGTTTGTGTCGTGATGGAATGTGTGACAGCATGGAGATCCTGCCCTGGGCAGTGTACCAAAGCGTTGAGCATGTTCACATTTCTCTCTTGGATAGGATTATTCGGTTTAGCAATAGAACAAGGTCTACTCTGCTGCCCAGAGAGTGATGATGTATGTATGTGGCAGGCTCCTTTGTCAGAGCTTCACTCACTACTTATTTAGTAAGGTACCGTATGTGCTTTCAAAGCAGCTCTAGAAGGACAGCCTCGTATCTGCTTGATCCCCCATTACTCGACTCCACATCATCCCTAGGCTGCCAGTATACACTCCCTCCTGCTTTCCTCAGCTCATTCCAATAGGAACCATCTTTCCCAGACACTGAAATGTCCCCATCATTGAGCGATATCCACACACCATGGAAAGGAATTGCATGCTTTCCCGTGCTCTGGCCCGGTTGCAGAGTGAGATGGTGGATGGCAATGTCAGGCCACTCGCCGCTCTTGTCTCTCTCCCAACCACTCCCCTTGAGCTCTGCACCCTTGAGACGACTTGACTCTAGCAGGTTTTCTCCTTGAGGTCCATCAGCTACGGCTGTGCTTGTAACTGCTGCTGGTGCTTCTGGGACTGGTTGAGAGGGAAACACCTCAACGGCGACTATGTACATTGGCTCTGGATTAGTTTCAAGGGAAATTACCCTGTGAATTTCTGGATGCGTGGTGTAGTTCGCGCAGAAACCCACGCGACTGGGTAGGGCGGTATCGAGCCATTCCTGGCCGTAGATCTGCTTGCGGTATGCCCCGCCGCTGACGGCGATGAAGTAGGTGTTGCACGCGTGGCGATGGAAGAGAGTTTCGGCTCCCGCTGGGATCGTGGCTGAGAAAACGCGGACGCGATCGTTGGAGAATACTATCTTATGAAGCGGCTCGTCCTCTAATTGCACTATCGGATCTTCAGACGCCATTGCTATGGCTCCTAACACACGTGACCAACTGTTTACGCGCTTCCGGAAAAATTGATCAGTGTGTGGAAAATAGGCACGAGTGGATGGGGTGGGTTTGTGGATGACTGTCTTCGCTAGTAGCAGATCCCTCAAGAGAACTGTTTCTTCTTTGTCGTGATTCTTTGAGCTAAACAGAGTGTCTGGATTGGTGGCACGTCGTGCTGCCTTTTGATTGGTCTTGAACATTCCAGTGTGAGGGGGTGAGACTCTATCCAATCCAGTGAGCTCGTTTGCATTTCGCGTGTCATTATGGTGCCGTAAAAGTCCATCAGAATGCTTGATGCGTTGCGTGGCTTGTACACTTTTTGTTCAGTTTCTGCATCCTGAGTTTGTCAGTTTCAGTGCAGAAATACGACCTACCGAGTTGTTTCTTTGGAAGTTCGAAAGTGAGTGGCTGAACCTGGCTCTCTCGGCAAAATCCAGGAACTCGAAATTCAAGGCTATGAGAATCCAGGCTTGTCCAAGGTTATCCACTCATTCTCCGTTCAGGTGACCTGAAGTGGAGTGGCGACGCATCAAGTTAGCAAATTGTTAGGGCTCTTGCTGGTGCGAAGACCGCAATCAGGATTAGTGCAAGCGGGACCATCGCAAGTAGGAGTATTGCGAGTGGGACCATGGTTGCCACAATGCGTACTCTTTCGACCCAGCTGCTCCCCAATTCTCTGAAGAGTATTGCGATGTCGCAAGACGCAGTATGCGGTCGCGATTCTTCCCGAGCTCTGCGCTTCAGGTTGTCGCATCCCTCTTATCGCATTTCTCTCGTCACATCCCTCTTATCGCATCCCTCTCGTCACATCCCTTCCGTCTCGTCGCACGTCGCATGCTCTCGTCGCATCTCTATGCACAAAGCCGTCGCACTGAACGTCCTCGTCGCACAACTTTCGCGAATTCTTGTTCCATGCGTTGCGCTGAAATATTATCGTCGCATCCAGCTCGCTCGGCTGACACTGAAGTTCCGGCAGATTCTCCTCTCGCTCTTCTCTCCGAATCTCAACTCATTCGCCATTCGCCTCTCGCATTCGTGCGCGTCTGCCGCTGTCGTTCGTTCTCCTGAAAGGAACAGTTTTGAGCCGTCTTTTGAGACGTATCAAAAGTCGTCTGCCTCTGTCGTTCGTTCTCCTCGAACAGTTTCAAGCCCGGCAGTTTCTAGCGTTCCTCCCTCTCGCTTGTTTTTGGAACACCACCTCTCAACCGTCGCACTCCTTCTCACCCTTATCACCCCCCTCATTCCTCTCACTCCTCTCACTCCTCTCACCCCTCTCATCCCTCACACCCTCCTCATCCCTCTCACTCCTCCACCCCTCTCACTGTGCCGTGCATTCCTCAGGTATCCTCGAACAAACCAAGCCGTCGCAAGTCGTTCGCCGCTCGCAGCCGCCAGAAACACCGCACTCTCCCGCACGTCCCCCTCACGTGCCTCCATTCTTGGAAATCAAACCCCTCAAATTGGAAAGCACCATGTCAAGACGCGGGTGAGGGTGGCAGCGGTGGCGACAGACGAGCAGGGGGAGGGGGGGGATGCACTGTGCCTGGCAGCGGCTGATCGCCCTCCGTTCGACCTCAATCTGGCGGTGCTGCTGGCGGGATTCGCGTTTGAGTCGTACAACACCCCGCAGGTGAGTGCAGCGAGCAGCGAGCAGTGGGCAGTGAGCAGCGAGCAGCGGGAGCAACGAGCAGTGAGCAACGAGCAGTGAGCAGTGAGCAGAGCAGTGCTGGCGGGTTTGTGAATCCGGTGAATAGGAATTTCGGAGTCGTCACAGGAGGACATTTGACGCAGGAAGCATGCTCTCCCTGTGTCTTGCATTGAATCCGCCTTGCCGTTTGACATATCATCCTCGCTGTGTCGCTCACAGGATCTGCTACTGCTGCTCCTTGGTTTGGGGTTGAGCCATGCAATGCGGTGCAATGCAGCACCTCCCTCCTGCCATAGTTAAAAAAGGAGACGCTGTGGGAGAGAGGAGGACCTGGGGGGCTGCCACAGCGACATTACATTCTACCTAATTTCAAAACTCTCACAACCACCCTGTGAATCCTTAGTAACACCCTGCATTCTCAAAAACATTCCCTTGGCCACAGGAGGACAAGGACACTCTGTGGGAGCAGGACGTGGGGGGCTGTCGCACCATCTTCACATCCTACGGCTTTGCCTACGAGCTCTACTCTGGCCAACTCATCGTGACCGTCCAATCCGCCTCTGACGTGCCAGCCGTAGATCTCTGGGTGGGTGAAAGCCTGAGGCCTTACCGTTATCTGCTCTGCACGAGTGAAGTGAAGGGGCTGAACGCCATGCTGCATTGTAATATGCATGAGTGAAGGCATAAAGGGGCATGGTTGGGTCTGCACTGCACTCATTCTCGTTGCTGACTTTTGAGTCGACTCAAAAGTCAGCCCTTATTGTTATCTGCTCTGCACGAGTTAAGTGAAGGGGCTGAACGCCATGGTGCATTGTAATATGCATGAGTGAAGGCGTAAAGCGGCATGGGTCTGCACTGCACACATTCTCGTTGGCTTGTACTCTTCCCACTCCGATTTTTGAGGCGCCTAAAAAAACAGAAGGCGTAAAGGGGCATGGGTGGGTCTGCCTGCACTCAGTCTCATTGCTTCGTACTCTGCCCACTCCCCCCCCTGTCAGGGCACCAGCGACCCCTACGTGCAGGCATCAGTGGGCGAGGCGTCTGTGCGCACGCGCACCATCTGGACGTGAGTTCCCTCTTTAATTTGATTCGCTTCTCCTTGTTTCATACTCCCCCTGCCACCCGTCTGCCAGGGCACCAGCGACCCCTACGTGCAGGCATCAGTGGGCGAGGCGTCTGCGCGCACACGCACCATTTGGACGTGAGTCCACGCTCTCTAGATTACACAGCCTCGCTATCTAGGCTCACACGCTTTTCACCCGCCTTGAAAGTCGTGTCTTGTCATGAGGTAGCTGGGGGGTCTGTGCGCACGCGCACCATCTGGACGTGAGTCCACTTTATGGTTTGAAATTAATTGCTAGCATCGCTATCCAGACTCACACGCTTTTCACGCGCCTGTGTCTTGTCTTGCGGTAGCGGGGCGTCTGTGCGCACGCGCACACACACTCACTCACATGCGCAAACTCATTCACTCACACACACACACACATACACACACACATATACACACACACACACCCACATACACACACGCACACACATACACACGCGACAAACATGCAACAAACAAACAGACTTGTGTGCATGTCCTCAGGAGCACGGCGCCAGAGTGGAATGAGGAGATTCGCCTGCTGGTGAAAGCAGATGACACCTCCACCCAGTACCTTAAGGTGCTGCTTTCCTCTAGATTCATCTCCTGTCCAGATTCTAGATTCTCCTCTTTGCTGTCTCTTCCAACATTTCCTTCGTCTCCCCATGGGATGCCACATGTTTATCCAGGCTGCTTCCACCAATCGTTTGCTCTCCCTTTCTCCACCAATCACAAGTTCCTTTACAATTCCCCCTCTATTCTCCCAAGCCCTCTCTTTTCCACCTCTCCATATGGTTCCTCCTCTGTTCTCACAACCCCACCCCACTCTCACCACCCCGTCCACTAATCACAGCTGTCCATGTGGGACGATGGGATCGTCATAGAGCCCCGTCGCCTTGGAAACGCTTCCATCCGATTGGACGATCTTCTGGACGGTAACCTCCTTGTCACTGCCATTGTTCTCGTTCTTCTTTCTCATTGCATCAGAATCTACCCCACCACCTTGCGAACCTAGCAATCCCACTAACTGACCAAGCGTGTGCATTGAGTTTCCAAGTTTCCTTCAACGCCCATGTCCAGGGTGACTTTTGAGTCGACTCAAAAGTCAAAATCTACCCCACCGCCTTGAGAACCTAGCAGTCCTAGCGTGTGCATTGAGTTTCCAAGTTTCCTTCAACGCCCATGTCCAGGGTGACTTTTGAGTCGACTCAAAAGTCAAAATCTACCCCACCGCCTTGAGAACCTAGCAGTCCTAGCGTGTGCATTGAGTTTCCAAGTTTCCTTCAACGCCCATGTCCAGGGTGACTTTTGAGTCGACTCAAAAGTCAAAATCTACCCCACCGCCTTGAGAACCTAGCAGTCCTAGCGTGTGCATTGAGTTTCCAAGTTTCCTTCAACGCCCATGTCCAGGGTGACTTTTGAGTCGACTCAAAAGTCAAAATCTACCCCACCGCCTTGAGAACCTAGCAGTCCTAGCGTGTGCATTGAGTTTCCAAGTTTCCTTCAACGCCCATGTCCAGGGTGACTTTTGAGTCGACTCAAAAGTCAAAATCTACCCCACCGCCTTGAGAACCTAGCAGTCCTAGCGTGTGCATTGAGTTTCCAAGTTTCCTTCAACGCCCATGTCCAGGGTGACTTTTGAGTCGACTCAAAAGTCAAAATCTACCCCACCGCCTTGAGAACCTAGCAGTCCTAGCGTGTGCATTGAGTTTCCAAGTTTCCTTCAACGCCCATGTCCAGGGTGACTTTTGAGTCGACTCAAAAGTCAAAATCTACCCCACCGCCTTGAGAACCTAGCAGTCCTAGCGTGTGCATTGAGTTTCCAAGTTTCCTTCAACGCCCATGTCCAGGGTGACTTTTGAGTCGACTCAAAAGTCAAAATCTACCCCACCGCCTTGAGAACCTAGCAGTCCTAGCGTGTGCATTGAGTTTCCAAGTTTCCTTCAACGCCCATGTCCAGGGTGACTTTTGAGTCGACTCAAAAGTCAAAATCTACCCCACCGCCTTGAGAACCTAGCAGTCCTAGCGTGTGCATTGAGTTTCCAAGTTTCCTTCAACGCCCATGTCCAGGGTGACTTTTGAGTCGACTCAAAAGTCAAAATCTACCCCACCGCCTTGAGAACCTAGCAGTCCTAGCGTGTGCATTGAGTTTCCAAGTTTCCTTCAACGCCCATGTCCAGGGTGACTTTTGAGTCGACTCAAAAGTCAAAATCTACCCCACCGCCTTGAGAACCTAGCAGTCCTAGCGTGTGCATTGAGTTTCCAAGTTTCCTTCAACGCCCATGTCCAGGGTGACTTTTGAGTCGACTCAAAAGTCAAAATCTACCCCACCGCCTTGAGAACCTAGCAGTCCTAGCGTGTGCATTGAGTTTCCAAGTTTCCTTCAACGCCCATGTCCAGGGTGACTTTTGAGTCGACTCAAAAGTCAAAATCTACCCCACCGCCTTGAGAACCTAGCAGTCCTAGCGTGTGCATTGAGTTTCCAAGTTTCCTTCAACGCCCATGTCCAGGGTGACTTTTGAGTCGACTCAAAAGTCAAAATCTACCCCACCGCCTTGAGAACCTAGCAGTCCTAGCGTGTGCATTGAGTTTCCAAGTTTCCTTCAACGCCCATGTCCAGGGTGACTTTTGAGTCGACTCAAAAGTCAAAATCTACCCCACCGCCTTGAGAACCTAGCAGTCCTAGCGTGTGCATTGAGTTTCCAAGTTTCCTTCAACGCCCATGTCCAGGGTGACTTTTGAGTCGACTCAAAAGTCAAAATCTACCCCACCGCCTTGAGAACCTAGCAGTCCTAGCGTGTGCATTGAGTTTCCAAGTTTCCTTCAACGCCCATGTCCAGGGTGACTTTTGAGTCGACTCAAAAGTCAAAATCTACCCCACCGCCTTGAGAACCTAGCAGTCCTAGCGTGTGCATTGAGTTTCCAAGTTTCCTTCAACGCCCATGTCCAGGGTGACTTTTGAGTCGACTCAAAAGTCAAAATCTACCCCACCGCCTTGAGAACCTAGCAGTCCTAGCGTGTGCATTGAGTTTCCAAGTTTCCTTCAACGCCCATGTCCAGGGTGACTTTTGAGTCGACTCAAAAGTCAAAATCTACCCCACCGCCTTGAGAACCTAGCAGTCCTAGCGTGTGCATTGAGTTTCCAAGTTTCCTTCAACGCCCATGTCCAGGGTGACTTTTGAGTCGACTCAAAAGTCAAAATCTACCCCACCGCCTTGAGAACCTAGCAGTCCTAGCGTGTGCATTGAGTTTCCAAGTTTCCTTCAACGCCCATGTCCAGGGTGACTTTTGAGTCGACTCAAAAGTCAAAATCTACCCCACCGCCTTGAGAACCTAGCAGTCCTAGCGTGTGCATTGAGTTTCCAAGTTTCCTTCAACGCCCATGTCCAGGGTGACTTTTGAGTCGACTCAAAAGTCAAAATCTACCCCACCGCCTTGAGAACCTAGCAGTCCTAGCGTGTGCATTGAGTTTCCAAGTTTCCTTCAACGCCCATGTCCAGGGTGACTTTTGAGTCGACTCAAAAGTCAAAATCTACCCCACCGCCTTGAGAACCTAGCAGTCCTAGCGTGTGCATTGAGTTTCCAAGTTTCCTTCAACGCCCATGTCCAGGGTGACTTTTGAGTCGACTCAAAAGTCAAAATCTACCCCACCGCCTTGAGAACCTAGCAGTCCTAGCGTGTGCATTGAGTTTCCAAGTTTCCTTCAACGCCCATGTCCAGGGTGACTTTTGAATCGACTCAAAAGTCAAAATCTACCCCACCGCCTTGAGAACCTAGCAGTCCTAGCGTGTGCATTGAGTTTCCAAGTTTCCTTCAACGCCCATGTCCAGGGTGACTTTTGAGTCGACTCAAAAGTCAAAATCTACCCCACCGCCTTGAGAACCTAGCAGTCCTAGCGTGTGCATTGAGTTTCCAAGTTTCCTTCAACGCCCATGTCCAGGGTGACTTTTGAGTCGACTCAAAAGTCAAAATCTACCCCACCGCCTTGAGAACCTAGCAGTCCTAGCGTGTGCATTGAGTTTCCAAGTTTCCTTCAACGCCCATGTCCAGGGTGACTTTTGAGTCGACTCAAAAGTCAAAATCTACCCCACCGCCTTGAGAACCTAGCAGTCCTAGCGTGTGCATTGAGTTTCCAAGTTTCCTTCAACGCCCATGTCCAGGGTGACTTTTGAGTCGACTCAAAAGTCAAAATCTACCCCACCGCCTTGAGAACCTAGCAGTCCTAGCGTGTGCATTGAGTTTCCAAGTTTCCTTCAACGCCCATGTCCAGGGTGACTTTTGAGTCGACTCAAAAGTCAAAATCTACCCCACCGCCTTGAGAACCTAGCAGTCCTAGCGTGTGCATTGAGTTTCCAAGTTTCCTTCAACGCCCATGTCCAGGGTGACTTTTGAGTCGACTCAAAAGTCAAAATCTACCCCACCGCCTTGAGAACCTAGCAGTCCTAGCGTGTGCATTGAGTTTCCAAGTTTCCTTCAACGCCCATGTCCAGGGTGACTTTTGAGTCGACTCAAAAGTCAAAATCTACCCCACCGCCTTGAGAACCTAGCAGTCCTAGCGTGTGCATTGAGTTTCCAAGTTTCCTTCAACGCCCATGTCCAGGGTGACTTTTGAGTCGACTCAAAAGTCAAAATCTACCCCACCGCCTTGAGAACCTAGCAGTCCTAGCGTGTGCATTGAGTTTCCAAGTTTCCTTCAACGCCCATGTCCAGGGTGACTTTTGAGTCGACTCAAAAGTCAAAATCTACCCCACCGCCTTGAGAACCTAGCAGTCCTAGCGTGTGCATTGAGTTTCCAAGTTTCCTTCAACGCCCATGTCCAGGGTGACTTTTGAGTCGACTCAAAAGTCAAAATCTACCCCACCGCCTTGAGAACCTAGCAGTCCTAGCGTGTGCATTGAGTTTCCAAGTTTCCTTCAACGCCCATGTCCAGGGTGACTTTTGAGTCGACTCAAAAGTCAAAATCTACCCCACCGCCTTGAGAACCTAGCAGTCCTAGCGTGTGCATTGAGTTTCCAAGTTTCCTTCAACGCCCATGTCCAGGGTGACTTTTGAGTCGACTCAAAAGTCAAAATCTACCCCACCGCCTTGAGAACCTAGCAGTCCTAGCGTGTGCATTGAGTTTCCAAGTTTCCTTCAACGCCCATGTCCAGGGTGACTTTTGAGTCGACTCAAAAGTCAAAATCTACCCCACCGCCTTGAGAACCTAGCAGTCCTAGCGTGTGCATTGAGTTTCCAAGTTTCCTTCAACGCCCATGTCCAGGGTGACTTTTGAGTCGACTCAAAAGTCAAAATCTACCCCACCGCCTTGAGAACCTAGCAGTCCTAGCGTGTGCATTGAGTTTCCAAGTTTCCTTCAACGCCCATGTCCAGGGTGACTTTTGAGTCGACTCAAAAGTCAAAATCTACCCCACCGCCTTGAGAACCTAGCAGTCCTAGCGTGTGCATTGAGTTTCCAAGTTTCCTTCAACGCCCATGTCCAGGGTGACTTTTGAGTCGACTCAAAAGTCAAAATCTACCCCACCGCCTTGAGAACCTAGCAGTCCTAGCGTGTGCATTGAGTTTCCAAGTTTCCTTCAACGCCCATGTCCAGGGTGACTTTTGAGTCGACTCAAAAGTCAAAATCTACCCCACCGCCTTGAGAACCTAGCAGTCCTAGCGTGTGCATTGAGTTTCCAAGTTTCCTTCAACGCCCATGTCCAGGGTGACTTTTGAGTCGACTCAAAAGTCAAAATCTACCCCACCGCCTTGAGAACCTAGCAGTCCTAGCGTGTGCATTGAGTTTCCAAGTTTCCTTCAACGCCCATGTCCAGGGTGACTTTTGAGTCGACTCAAAAGTCAAAATCTACCCCACCGCCTTGAGAACCTAGCAGTCCTAGCGTGTGCATTGAGTTTCCAAGTTTCCTTCAACGCCCATGTCCAGGGTGACTTTTGAGTC